TATGGCATATAATATGCACAAATAGATGGATAAATATTTCTGTTGAAAATAAACAGGAAAAATAAAAGAAAAAAATGAGAAATAAATCCATAAAATATATTCATTTCATAACAAGTGTACCGCTATTTTTAATATCATTAAATCGAGAACTGGTCAGCTTAAAAGAAGAAATAATATGAAAAAAATAATAATCCAAACGACAAAAACACGTTTGCTATGAATAGGTTTGCATTTTTGTACCTGCCAAACCATCTCATTGCCCTAGAGTCAGAATTGAATGGTCGTATGTTTGGTATGTTTATCTCATGGCAATGCAAACAAAACTGTATTGGCCTTATCGCGCGTCACCAAAACAGAGAGCAAGAGAGAGAGAGAGACGGAGCGTAGAAAATTACAGTGTCTTTGTTGCGGTTAATTGTCACGGCGCATTAATGTACTGTAGCAAAGTTTTCCGTCTATCTCTCATACTCGCTTAAAACCAGCTACTCAAATAAATTGCAGCGCAAATATTTACCGGTCGCTATTTTTGTGTCTGCGCTCATATTATCTTCATGTTTTTCAAATCGTGGTGTGGCAGAAACGTGCATTTCCACCCATCTTATCATTATTTGTTGTTCGTGTATATCATGCTTGCGCTTGATTGTTGCTAATTTGCTCAGTCAGAGAGTTTGCTTCGTTGGATGGTACTTAAACCTCTCTTCGTGACAAAAAATAAACATAGTCGATTCCGTACAATTTTATCTCATACACTGCTGGCATATAAATTACTTTGCTTAAAATAAACTCAGTTTGAACATAAAAAAATTTGTTGTCTAAACAAATAAAATTAGCGAATGAATGTGCATCGCATTCGGTTAGCAGATAAAATTCAATTCGGATGCATGGGAATGCGATGCATAGCAACGCAAACATAAAATGCGTCATTTCGAAAATGAACTGCACATTAACGTCAATTGATGATTTTGTCAAGATTTCAAATGATGATTGGAAAGGTGTTTTTTGTTACCACAGTTCTATGAGTAGAAAAATATACGATAACAGTTAAACAGCATAAAAAAAGCCAAAATGTTCAAGTTTTTGTTGACACTAAATAGTAGGTCGTGTATAAACAAATAGATTTTATAGAACCTTTAGATAAGTATTCTACACTTTTCAGAACAATGATTCAATGGAAAATTTCCGAACATTTGTACACAAAACAATACTGATGACACAAACGATATTCGCAAAATGTGAGAATTCTCATTTTTGTCCCATTGCTAGAATATTCATTTTTATTTGCATCACATTTGAATTATTGTCATTTATTGTTACACGAAATGGTGTCAGACAAATACTGAAGAATGAAAAATAAAATAAAACCCATAAAAATAAATGTTGACGGAATTTTTCAAATCAAATAAGATATTTTCATTCAAAATGAATTTGTATCGATGCCAACTGCCACAAAATGTCTTTAACACAATCGCATGGGAATAAAGTATGTAAAATACAATAGTGTATTTCCAAATTGACTGAAAAACCATCATAATTTCATTTTGACAATAATGATGATGATGCGATGTGTGGTTTTGTGTTTTGTTGTGTTTGAATTTAGTTTCCCTTTGTTTGGTTGAATGTTTGTGTTTGGTGTCTTATAGTGTCACCATTTAAAAAGAAACAGCAAACAGAACAAATGACGAAGAAAACGAAAATGATGGGCGATTCGGCTGACTGAACAATGAGCAACACTTATTTTGACTCATCGTGTGGCGCATTCAGTTTAACGATCTTTTTTGTTCTTTTCATTTTTCTTAATCTTCTCATCGGATATTTCACTTTAGAAGATTCATTTCAAAGGATGCGAATCATAAAGCGGACATTATGGTTTTTATTCGTTGCCAAATAAATTATGCATGCGGTCGACGATTGTGTGAGCTCACATCTTCAAGTTCTTCGTGATAGGTGCGTTTTATGGTCGGTGTGCTATTTGAGTCAGCTCATTTCAGTGAATCGAACCATGGCATATACTTGTTACTTCCTAAGTTGATCATTTGTTAAAGAAACGAAATGCCAGCTCATTTTAAATATGAATGACAGCGGTGTATGAGTAAAAAAATTGCCAACATTCTTCGCCTCGCTTAGCTAGAATCATTCAACGATGATTACGATGAATTTTTAGCCGACCTTAGCAACGATACAAATGTCCATAATTGGTAAAAAAATAACATTGTTCGTGGAATTAAGATGGTATATGCAGTTCAACGCCTTTTATGAAATAATGATCATTCTCAATAAAATGTCTGCAAATCAATGAATTCATACAAAAGTACTTTATAGATCCATATCTTTTCTCTTCATTTATCTTTGTCTTTCTTCGTTTCTATCGTACCTCTTGTCGATTCCATTTCAAGAAACAAATGGAATGTCAAGAAATCGAACAAAATGTATTTTTACGGTGAAAAGAAAAAAAAATTAATGCATTGACTGACACACCATGCGCTGAGATCGCGCAAACAACCACGTCAAGCACCTCATATTCTATCATTTGTAATGTGTGGCAACGAGAGAGAGAGAAAAAAAAGATATAGAAAATATGCGTGTAATTGTAAAGAGAATTTTCGTTGCAAGCCGCCTATAGCAACGCGAGAAGGAACGCGAGCGATTGAAATAGAAAAAGAAAATGTACCAGAAAAAAAGTTGCCGTTTCCGTATATTGAGAATTTGAGTGAGCGTGCGACGGAATATATGTTTCGACAATTTAATAGCATTTGTTCGGTTGTGGAGAGTGCATTAAAAATAGACGCATGCAATATAAATGGAAAGAAGAAGCGTATTCGGTTTTGGTTTCTCAATCGAACAAAGAACCGATCTAAATTCCGAGACGTATTTCACAATAGAAAATAGTTGTTGTTGTTGTTACTGCTGCTAAATTCCATGGGATGAACACGATGCACGATGTGCGTTCCTGTGCATGCATTTCATCATTTCGTTATCGCTCATCATCATCACATTTTCGCCCATCCAAAACACACAAACATTCATTTCACTTCAGCCAACGGTCTCACCGTGGAACGAAAAACGCACAATCGACCCAAGTGTTTCTTCAAATTGAACAAGAAGGAAAACATTTTACACTGTACATAAATGTTAATTAAAATGAACCTTCAGCGAAATGAGAAATAAAAAAATTCCGTACACATTGTTAACTGGAATTTCTCTTTTCGCTTTTGTGCAAAAACCTAAATTCAAAATGCCCATTCTACATTACATTTCAGCGAGACATATATTACACAGATTATATTTTCTTCGTTTTTCGAGTTGAAAAACCTTCTATTTGAAATAGTGTGCAACCCATCTGTAGGTTATTCGCTTACCGTATTTCGTACACATATTTTCTCTTTTTTTGGCATTTTTGTCGCTGTGTTGCCGATAGTCTCGGGCAAATGTTATTTTCATAGCATATAACACTCACTCATTTCAGTCGCTTTGTATAAGCTTCAGATTCAGTTTTTGGTGTGCTGTTTTTAAATGTGTACCCGGATTCATGGCTAGATATAAGGTGCCGTGCGGTGTGTGCTAAGATACATATAAAAATGAACTCGTGTATTGTTCAATAAATGCCATACAGTTTAGTAAAAGTATTAGGAATTGAATAGCGAGCGCGCTTCAATGCAAAGAAAACAAATATAATATAGACAATGACGATGCTATAACCAAAACAAAATAACCAACGATTTGCAGTGGACCAATCGATGCAATTGCTTTGTCTCTCCGAAATCATTGAATGAAGAAATACTTGTATATGTACAAAGTAGAGAATGTAAGGAGAAGAAGGAACAACAAAAAATCGTTGTTGCAGCAGCTGAAAGAAAGTCAGCATGATTCGTGTGATGATGCTGTGCACATTTTTGCTCGGAATATTCCGAGTAGTTCGTTTCACAAATTCCAAACGGAACCAACAATAAGCAATATGTTCTGAAAAATACATATAGAAAATTTGTTTCTTGTGCCTTTTTTCTGCTGCTATTGATCAGCTCCGTTCGAGTTCCACTTATTGCATCGGGTTGGGTGTGTACCGTTGTGTGAGTGTACATCGCATTCATCATACACTATACTATACTTGCACAAATGGCATCAATAAAATGATAAATGCAGTGCGGGTGTTTATCTCACTGTAGCATATACGCATTCGTATTACACATTGTACATGATGTAGACTGTAGAGTATACTATTTGGAGCACTGAGTTGCCATAGTGCACCGTTTCTACGAAATAAATGTTCGTTGTTCTCGACTCGCTGCTCTATTTTCACGCGCGCTTACGCATTCAGCAACTGAATTTTAGTTGCAAGCGTATTATATAGCGCGTCCATACGAATTCGCAGATTTAATGAAATTAAAATAGTCGGCGCTGGTATTTTTCTACTTTTCTTCCTCTCTCAGTGCACTTCCTTCTATTTAAACTTCGTTATCGTGTATTGCCTCTGGAATGTGCACCGTTCTATTGAGCTCAAGCAAACGGTTTAATTTTAAGAGTATTGAATGTTGAATGCTCTTACGGGATTAACTCATAACTTTAATTAAATTATCGTGATTTTACTCTCTTTGCTTACGCTCAAAAAATAATATATGTTTCCTTTTAGCGTAATATTGAACTCTCCGTGCATTGCATGTGTAATATATGATTACAATGAAACAAAACGCTATTTACTCAATTATTTCTCGACTTTGTAGACTCTTTTTTTTCATTTTATGTGTTTTTTTTTTGTTCTATCTTTTGTTTTTTTCCTTCCTCTCGATTCTTTTCCGACTTTTTTCTCATTTACTTTAACTTTTAATTCGTTTTTTAATGCTTTTATTTTCTCATTCTCACTTCACAGCACTAAGTACAATTGCATTTGGCATGTTTGTTTCAATATGTAAGTGTAAATTGTAGTAAAAAGAAGTTTTTGAATATATGCAGCATGTTTAACATGCGAGACAGAGGAAATGTGCGAAATGTGATTGAACTTCACTTACCATCATTCTTCAAGTAAAAGGACATTGTGATGTGATTGTTTTTTTTTATTTCGGCTTCTGTTCGTCTGTTACTCTTTGTTGTCGTTATTTCTTGGTCGAGTGATTCGTTTTACTTCGTGTTGTTATTTTTTTTTAATTTGAACTTTTATTTAGCTGTTTGATTTATGTACTCTCTCTTTTTCGTCGACGAATAGTCATTCGAATTGAATGGCTTGAATTCATTTGAGCAGCGAATTATTTTGCTGCGAATACAAGCAATGTCGAGAGTGATGCATTGCCAAAATTGAAAGTGTTTGGAATGTATTCACGCAAGCCAACAGCGCAAATGACTGGCATGCAAAATACACAGTCATCGATGATGACTGAATCGCTTGTAATGAGCGATATGTGATGATGACGACAATCAACAAGAATTTTTTTTTTCCGTTTTGCACTTTAACACTATATTTAGTTTCACTTTTTTTGCGATTGGACTTTGTTATTTTTGCTCTAACAACATTAAAATTGATCTCCTTTTTTAAGAACTTAATAACCACATTTAAATTGTTTGCCGTTTTTTTCTGTCATTCACTTTAAACAAAAAAAGGGCTTGGGTCGTTTCCGTTTTTCTTGGAAATTGTATTACCAAATGTGTTTACACTTCTTCCGAAAATAAAATAGATACACACAGTTGTTTTGGATCGTCTTTCTAGACGACGATTATTATCTGGTATTTTTTTCACACAAACCGAATTGCAAGTACATAGCGTGTGTATTCATTTGCACAATTCATCATTCATTGGCACTTCGAATCAATCTCTTTGTTTGTTTTACTTGTCTTTTTCTTTTTAGATTTTGTACTTTGTCGTCATCGAGTAGCAATTAAAGCACACAAACGCTCTCATATACACCCAACTTCATATAGTTTTGGAAAAAAAGAACAAAAAAAAATCAATTCGTTAACAAGTTACACACTTTGATATTTTTAGGTTGTGTTGATATCATTTTGTGACTTGATAAATTGGTGCTCTTTATTACCTTTTTTTGCTCTATCCATATTTTGGTTTCCCATCACACATCATATGTATCTATATATGTATACTGTTTGGTCGTTTCGTTTGATCTATTTCCAATGACACAATGTGTAGAAGTGTCTATATCCAAACATAGTTGAACTTTTATTATTAGCATATACAAGGGATTTTTTTTCTAGTTGGGATTAGATCGAATGTATGAAGTAACCGAGTTTTTATGTATCGACTTAATCGTCGTCGGAGTCGTCATCATTGACATTTCACAATACACACCGATAAAAATAATAGTTATTATTTATAAATATGGTCGTTTGGTCGGTTTGGAGTGTACGTTCTCTTTTTTTGTTTGTGTCACAACAAAATGATTTCATATATAGATTTCAGTGAGAGAGACGACAAACATACAAATACACTCCTTCGTGCACGATTTTCAGTGCCTCTTGTTTGTGTCGTTGGAGGTTCGACAATGGAGCGAAATATGGAGAATCTATATAGATTTCAAATGGTATATACAGAATATATCGAAAACGACAGCAGCAAATCCGATAATGAAAAATAGATGGAACGACGACGACGACGACACACAATCACGAAATGTTTGTTGTTGTTGTTTTTTTTTTTCTTCGGTTTCGATTCACAGGAAAAAATGCCTTTGGATTGACAATGTTTCTATTTAGCTATTCCATCGTCGGTCGACCGATAGGACGATTACGAATCACGAACGACTGTTGTTGTACATTGAACCCTTTTTTTCCTGTTTATTGTACACTGGTAACGCTTCGATGACGAAAACTAAAATCATTTAATCGTTCAACCAACTTTTACACCAATTTAACGAAAAACGGGAAATGTCGGAGAAAATTCTTTTTTTACGACGAACCAAAACACAATCACCATTCACAACAACTGCGCGACATACTGCTGCATACAATGTCATCCATATTCGGGGATGGCAATAAAGAAAAAGCAAATCGTCGAGAAACTCAGCACCAAAATAATAATAACAATAATAATGAAAAGACGTGTAAATGTTTAGTGAAATTAATTCTGTTGCGGTTCCGTCATTGACGTCTTCAAGCGATTTGTTATTCTCATTCGTTGTTTTATTTAAATTTGAGCTCAAGTCGATTCGTTTTATCCTCTTATTCTCAATATTTTTACATTACAATTTTTTATTGTTCATTCGTTAGTTTTAAATGTTGTTCGCTTTGCTCGGCACGGTTTGGTACACACTCTTGAATCAATTCGTAACGTGAAATGAATATTTATGTTGGTTTCTGTTTGTCTCGCTTTTCACTTATATTTTATTGTTAATTCTACGTTTTATTTTCCTTCCTTCTTTCCCATTTGTTTAACATTGTCCTGATGTATGAGTGAGTTTAGTTTTCACATTTCGGTCGAAATGCAATTGAGACAAATTGGTGGTGTTTCAATGTAAAATCCCAAAAATAACCGAATGAATTCAGCTCAATTTGTGTACACTTGAATTTCTATTATCTTATTCTTAAATTGGCTCAAGTCTAGTAAATCTTCTAATCGAAACTAAACAAAAACAATTTTTTTTGCACAATTGATACATTCATCTGAGTCACACACAAAATAATCACTGCAGAAAAAAATTCACTAATTCACTTTTCATTTCACAAATATTCGAATATTATTATGAATGTATATTTTGTTTCTTCTTATTGGTGGACTTTTGTCTCGCGATATTTGTTTTTGTGGGTAAGACGAACGATATAGAAATAAGAGAGAAAAAAAAATAATTTGCGTTTAGCGAAAAGACGTACACTCATTCAGCACCCGACAAAAGCGAAAAAACGATTGATATTGAAAACTGGAATCATCGTCACTGGAACATAGCAGCCACCAACAGTACGATGTGTGTGTTTTTTTCTCTCTACTTCTTCCACTACTCTTTGGTGTTGTTTTTCTGCTGCTTATTCTGCGTGCGCGATCCGGACGTTCCGTACGTTCGCACAGACCAGAGAAAAATATATGATTAATGTTAGAATGCGATGCACGAAAGAAAAATAGGGATTGGTAGAAGAAGAACAAGCAAAGTGACAATGTGAAATGAACGTAACAGACGACAACATACGAAAAACTTCCAAAAACTGGATGACAGACTGTGTGCGCTTACACGCAAATTCATTGTGTGTGCATATGTATCCTCCTTGTTGTGCGCGCGCGATATATTCCATACAATCTTAAAATCATATCAAATGTGTGCATGTGTGTTGGTGCCTTGCGATTTCTAGCGTGCGTCAAGCAATATAGAGACACAGACACACACCATTCGTGAATGAAAATCAAATGATACTGGCGAGTATTGACATTGAAATCCAACACCGATACACACTGACGGCAGAAAAAGGGAGATGGAGATATTGGAGATACCATTCAAACCGATTTTGTTGGCGATATATTTGAGTGCGCCGATTTTATGTATCGCATAAAGCGATTCAATACGCACACAAATAAATAACCCAAAATATTGACATATATCTTCTGTCTCATTCGTTCGAGGCGAAAACCGATATATGATGTACTTCTTAACAATTTTAATTGCACTCTATAATAAATGTGTTGTATTAAAATTGTATGCATAAACTCAGAAATACGTATTTTAATCTCATTTTCATCGAAAAAACATTCAATTTTCTCCATCGACTATTACATTTTCATAGCGTTAAAAACGCGCGAAGCGAATTCTTGACAGTAAAAACTGCATCTGGGCCAACTTCACTTCGATTGGTTGCGTGTTTGGATACTCATACAGGCAAATGCAACACATGTGTGATGTATGAATAGGAAAAATTCGAATAAAATAATAACAAAACAAATGGCAACGACGAAGAGAACAAAAAAAAGTAATAGCGAATCGCACCATCGTCTATGTGTATTCTGCAGTCATATTTACAACTCAGTTGTTTAAACAACAACTAGTGTCATTCTCATCTGTTTTTTTTTCTTCTATTTTTCGACTTTGTTACGATTCGATTTTTGTTTACAAGTATTGAATTACAGCATTTCCAAGCAAAAACTATCTATTCAAAGTCTGATTCTCTTTGTTTCTTTATTTCGGATTATTTTGCGCACTTCAATTGCATTTCGGCGTATAATTCGTGCATATTTGAAATACATCTAAAACAATTAGCTTTAAGAGTCAAATTAAGAGTGTCTGTTTGGTTGGAATGAAGCGCAAAAAAGAAAGCAATTGAAAGACTTTTATTTTCCCGCAACAAGCTCGAATTTTGAATGAAGCGAAAGTGAAAAACCGACCAAATAAATAACAATAAAAAAGTTTAAAATTAATTTGGGCGTCAACATATACTCTTAATAAACCCTTTATACATAGTTGTAAAATAAATTTGTCAAACTATTCGACAAAACGTGTGCACAAAAGATAAGGTGAATTGAAAGAATCGCAAACATAGTGATTTGCATCGGATAATTGAGTTTAAAACGAAGTCTTATCTCGCTTGGAATTTGGTTTGATTTTATTAAACCACTCACCGTTGTCCGGTATAAAATGAAAGCAATCGAAGCCAAAATTGTTGTGCTCGGCTCTCAAGGTAAATAAAATGTTCCATAGTTTACGTAAATTTGTCATATCTTATCAAGTAATAGCAGTACAATTGGTTTAAAGTAGGCCATTTACAAAATTGTTGTAATCATTTTTTTTCTTGTTCCTAAAGGTGTGGGCAAGAGCAGCCTCATCAAACAGTATATATGCGAAATGAATGCATCTGACATTGCGCCGACAATCGGTGCTTCATTTTCAACATTCAAAGTAAAATTGGAAGAAGGAAAGGTCAAAATGCAGATTTGGGATACTGGTGAGTTATACTAATTATGAATATGTATTTTTATTTTATCAAAGCACACTCGTTTTTAGTTCGTGCATTCGCCGTTTTTATGAGAATTGTTTGTTATTTATCACAATTTATAAATATACATTTATCTAGCTGGTCAAGAAAAGTTTCGTGCAATGACGCCGATGTATTATCGCAACGCAAATGCTGCGTTACTTGTTTTCGACTTAACAAACTACAATAGCTTTGTCGAGGTTAAGGGATGGATTCAAGAATTGCATAAGTAAGTTGAATGTTTTACTTTATTTTGCTTAGACCTGAATAGTACAACTCTGCACACGATATTTTGGGACCGGGCTGTAAAAAATCAAAAATCATTTTCTTCTTGATATTTTGTTACTAAAACAAACGTATTTCTCTGGTCTGAACGGTAGGAATGTGATTGAGCCGATGATTTTGACTGTGGTTGGTAATAAAGTTGATTTGGAAAAAGCGCGAGCTGTGTCGAGGGAGGAAGCTTTTCTTTACGCATCTTCTATAAATGGTTCGTATTACGAAACATCAGCAATAAATGGTGGCCGCGGCATTGAGCAAGTTTTCATTTCAACTGCCCGCGGATTACTACGATTAGCCGAAAATAGTGATTGTTCTTCAATTAAACGATATGAATCGAATGATTCAATTCTTAGCTGTAATGATTTGAATGGTAATTACAAAACGATCCATTGAATGTTGTTTATAAAATGGTTCTAATCAAGTTTTATCATCGATTTCATTAGGTTTCTATGATAAAACGAATCTAAGCTCAGTGAATGCGGGCATTCCAGTTGATCTGAATGTTGAAGCGAATGATACAGGACGCCTGGAAACGGCCCCATGGAGCATAAATCACATTGCCCATGGTGATGCACATCGCTCAAGTTGGTGCTGTTACTAGAATCAAGCAACAAAACTCTTTTTTTTTAACATTGAAAATAAAATTCTCCAAGACAAAGAATTATTTCCAATGTTCAAGAATGTTGAATGCATGACATTTACTTTCGTTAGAGTAAATTCACCACCATACATACATTTTTTGTACATTATAAGTCAAAACACTATTTATCCTCTAATTGTGATGTTTGTTATTGCCTAAGAGTTTCTAGATTATTTACTTTAATTTCGATTTAAAAAAAAACTCTTTAGAATGCATTTGATCTTCTTCATGCACTGCATGAAATCATAACTAAATTATTTGAATGACTGTTGGTGTCAATTCTCGATACTCAAAAGTAGTGCCAATCTCTTTTGACTTTTGGCTTTGAAAATTTATCAATATCAAGCGCAATTTAAGCCCTGCCAAATTGCTAAAAGAAAACCCACACAAAGTCTGTTAATTTCTATGAAAATTAAGACTTGAATTGCTTGACACATTTCACAAAATGTAAAATCTTATATAGAAAAATAAAAGAGTATATTTCAATATAAAAAGAATTACGGTGATGTTTTCATTCATTGTCTATATGTCATGTAAACGAAATTCAAATGTGAGTATTTTGCCGCATTGAGTGAACGCACTCCAACTGATACGTCTGTCAAAACGACGCGCGCTGTGTTTCTTTGACAACAAACCCAGCGGCGTTTCATTTATTGTATCGAACCAACAAACCAATAAGGTGTAATTGTATTGCTAAGCGATTTGTTGCCAATAAAATTCAAAGTGTGCAAACATTCTCGACGCAATTAAATTGAATCGATTTCAACACGAATAAAAATACAAAATGAAAATCGAAGAAGTTAAAAGTACAGTGCGAACACAGCGTATTGCTGCTCACAGTCACATTAAAGGATTGGGTTTGGATGAGAATGGTGTACCGATCGAAGTTGCTGCCGGATTAGTTGGGCAAACAACAGCCCGTGAGGTATCGTAATCTCTAGACCATTTTATTTTAAATTATAAAAGTTAATTTTGAATTTATCAATCAAATGTGTGTTCGAAGTGATTGAGGTTATGTCATCAAGTACAATGAATGTTTTTCTTTTGTGATATTCTAGGCTGCTGGTATTGTTTTGGATTTGATTAAATCCAAGAAAATGGCTGGAAAAGCCATATTATTGGCGGGGCCACCTGGTACAGGAAAAACTGCGATTGCCTTGGCCATTGCACAGGAATTGGGAAACAAAGTAATAAGCGAATAATAAGTAGTTTTAACTCATATCATTTTTGTACAACTAAAACAACTGAATGTATATTTGAAATGGATTACTAGGTGCCATTCTGTCCAATGGTTGGTTCTGAAGTGTACAGCAGTGAAATCAAGAAGACCGAGGTATTGATGGAAAATTTCCGGCGATCAATTGGATTGCGTATCCGTGAAACAAAAGAAGTGTACGAAGGCGAGGTCACCGAATTGACACCACAGGAAACAGAACATCCGACAATGTTGAGCAGCTACGGCAAGACAATCAGTAATGTCACAATCGGACTGAAAACCGCCAAAGGAACAAAACAATTGAAACTGGATCCATCAATTTTCGAATCACTTCAAAAGGAGAAAGTTGAAGTTGGCGATGTGATTTACATTGAAGCCAACAGTGGGGCAGTCAAACGTCAAGGTCGCAGTGATGCATTTGCTACTGAATTTGATTTAGAGGTGAGAAATTATTCAATCCATTCTGTATTTGGAGAATCGAAAGTAAACAGTTGAATTTTCTGTTGAATTTTTAAGACCGAAGAATACGTGCCATTGCCAAAGGGTGACGTTCACAAGAAGAAGGAAGTCATTCAAGATGTTACATTGCATGATTTGGATTCGGCCAACGCTCGTCCACAAGGTGGTCAAGATGTGCTATCGATGATGGGCCAACTGATGAAACCGAAGAAAACAGAAATCACCGATAAATTGCGAGCAGAAATCAACAAAGTTGTAAACAAATATATCGATCAAGGTATCGCTGAATTGGTGCCCGGTGTTCTTTTCATCGATGAAGTGCACATGCTTGACTTGGAAACATTCACATATTTGCATAAATCACTCGAATCGCCAATCGCTCCGATTGTCATCTTTGCCACTAACCGTGGAAAATGCACGATTCGGTGAGTTTACGCTTTGTTTTAATTCAACATGAATTTTTTTTAAATCTTATTGGAAATTTATTGATTTCTATTTATCAAACAGTGGAACTGAAGATATTGTATCACCACATGGAATCCCATTGGATCTATTGGATCGTTTGGTCATCATTCAAACGAATCCATATGGCATCAACGAAATTCAACAGATCATTAGGATCCGCGCATTGGTCGAAGGGTTGCAAATCGAAGAAGAAGCATTGGCTGCACTCAGTGAAATTGGACACACTACCACACTCCGATATGCCGTTCAACTACTAACACCAGCTGCCCAATCTGCAAAAGTAAATGCGCGTACTTCGATTGCTAAGGAAGATATCACGGAAATAAATGCACTATTTTTAGATGCCAAACGATCGGCGGGATTCCTTGCCGTCAAAGACAACAAATATATGCTCTAAATGCTAAGACTTTTTTCGCCGTAAGAATTTTCATTGAACCCGATACTGATTCGATTGGAGAAAAGAGAAGAAAAAGAAACATCTCTAAACAATCTTATGCGGCAGGGGGTTACAATGAGTTGTCATTTAACATTCGCACGTTTTAATTCCTGAGTTTCATATGAATAAAGAAAATAAACTACAACTACAAAATAAACGTTTTTTTTTTAAACACGTCATACATTCATATTAGATAATTGGTTAGCATTTTTCATCGAGAGCCACACATGTAACATTTCAAACTGTTTATAGTTCAGATTGATATTCAAAGAAAGTAATAAATGAGTACTGTAAACGCAACCAAATGACAGTTTAATGCTGTAAATACGCATTTTGCCTTAATTTTGACTTTTTCAACATCGCAATTTACTTGTGTGTTGTTTTCTCTTTTGCTCCCCTCGCGCTATACCCACATGTGCTTTGAGTTGAAACGAACCAAATACTAAAACAACAAACAAACATCTGACTTCATTACGTACAGTGTGCGCGTGATAGTATGCGTGTACATGTTTGAATGTATTTGTAAACGATAAAAGTCAAACAGACTCATTGAATTTAGTACGTCAAAAATTATTGAAACAAAGTTTTCTCTCAGAATTTTTCTCGCAGCTAATTTATTATTGCATATTGTTTGTAAATGTGATTAACACTATATTTTATGAGATATGAAACATCAACGACGATTTTAAAATATTCATGAGCATGAAACAATTCAACATTATCGTACATTCAATGTGTGAAAAGTGAAGTGTGATTTGCATAGAACCAACTAAAAACAGTAGCATAAAATTGACGAGAACTACATCAATCTGAAGATAAAAACAAAAAAAAAGTGATTCCAATTTGAGGCTAGACAGAAAAATATTTTCAAAAATCATGGTTGAACCAATATTTGACTATCAATTTCGATTGATATTGATTGGAGACAGTACGGTGGGAAAGAGCTCTTTGCTCAAATATTTCACAGATGGTCGATTTGCGGAGGTAATTCATAGCAATTGAAATTTGATTTTGGTTTTTTTTTTCGACGACACCCAAACAAAGCTTTGTCAGATGAATGTCTGATTCACTGAATTTCCATTACGCATCGATATGTTAATGCGTAAACAGTTTTACCCATTCCTTTCGCAAATGTAATTATTCGACAAATTATTATTATCAGTTTACGACGACATTTAGTTTATCAATATCGGCAAAACTTTTGTTTCTTCGATTCATATATTTCACACTTAATTTATTTTCAACTCGCTGCAGTGCAACTGATAATGACATTATGTGTGTCACTTTGGGTTTCACAAATTAGCTCAATTCGATTTCCATGCCATGTTCCGTTGCATTATCATTTAAATTTAGAAAATATGATTTAACGCGACATTAATTTAACGATTGCATTTAAAATCAACAAAACGTTCAATATAGTCGCAACGAAATTCAAAACAACGCAATATGCGTCCTGCATCAACTTTTCTTTATTTATTCTTTTATGTTTGATTCAATTGATGTTGATTATCATGTGCACGGTGTTATGACTCATATTCATCAAGTGATATTCCTTTTGATGACAGTAGTCGCCACTTGCAACTCCCCATCGTTCTAAAATTAAACAAAAATTATCGGAAACGAATTCTTTCACAGAGAGAAAACGAATTCTTTCACTACAAAGCAGAAAAAGAAATGAATGACAAAAATTTGTAGACTCGTCGTAATCTCAGCTATGCGTGGAATGTCAAAAATTACGCGAATAACCTTCAAGTAAAATGACATGCTATGAAGAAACATTGACACCGTAGAGTTCAGCTTGATGAATTGAATTATTATATATTGATAAGATGATGTAGTTGTATGTAGATAGCATTTATATTACGTAAGCATAAGGTCACTCAACAATTTGGATTTTGTACAATTTTCCATTGGTTTTCTGAATTTTTCCAATTTTTTTTTCTCAGCTTTCAGATCCAACAGTTGGAGTCGATTTTTTTGCTCGAATAATTGAAGTTAAAGACGGAACCCGCATCAAATTACAGCTATGGGATACAGGTACTTGAATTGAATTATTTCATTATGATAGATCATTGTCATCGGATAGACAATAATAGACTTATCATATTCGTGTTCATTTAATGTAGCTGGTCAAGAGCGCTTCCGTTCAATTACAAAGTCCTATTATCGAAACTCAGTTGGTGTATTGTTGGTATATGATATTACAAATCATGCATCTTTCGAGGTAATTCATAGAAACTGAATTTTGATTTTCTTTTGCCGTAGTGAAAACGGCACCCAAACATTGGAACAGCAAATAACATAACAGTTATAATATTCACTTAAACATTCGCAGCACATACCGTTGTGGATGATGGAAGCAAAGCGCCATATCGAACCTCATCGGCCGGTGTTCGCATTGACTGGTTGTAAATTAGATTTAGTGAGTAACGGTGCTCGCCGTGAAGTCAGCCGTGATGAGGCCAAGGCTTTTGCTGAACAAAATGGTTTATTTTTCGTCGAAACATCTGCACGAACTGGTGTTAATGTCGAAGAAGTATTCAACATGGTTACAAATGAGGTACGAATCTTGTCACATTTTGTTGTGAATTCTATTTTGCATCTTACCTTTTCTCTATTAAATGAAAAAATCTATCGATTAATTACAGGTATATGCCCGAATACAAAGCGGTGAATACAAAATCGAAGAAGGCTGGGACGGCATAAAGCCTTCAGCATTGTTTGGTCGGCCAAACAGTCTGGATTTCAATTTAGTGGTGGCCGAACCAGAAAAATCGACATGTTGTTGATTATCTATACCATTCAATTCTGAAGGATTGATTTCAATTCGTCACAATGTAATGAATTAGTTTAAGAACAAAAAGCCACATGAATTTTCTACGATACAATCATGCTAAATGATTTCTTTTCTTTTGTATATTAATCCATTTTCTGACGATTAGAGTAAACATTTAACTACTGCTTGTATTTGTCCGATTGAGGAATACTGAAAAAATAAAAACAAACTTTTAACATCTCCATCTCTCTACAAGCTCCACCTATATGCAGTAGACGTTTAAGAGAAAATTCATTTTGTAACGTGAACATTTTCAACGCTTTCGTTTTTATAATAATACAAAAACCACTAAATATAATGAGATGAAATCATCAATTCTGAATATTTATGTATTTAGTAGAAGATTTTTTTATAATTCAACTTTCATGAGTAATGCTATTTTATTAGGATATATATAAAGAAAAAAGCCAAACCATTATTCGGAGAACCAAATAAATTTGAATAAATTAAAAAATAAACAATCAATTTGATGAACAAAACTAATCTTGTTTTCAGACAATATATTGAATTAACTGGTCAGTTGACAATAGACGTTATTGTTTTAATGATGAATCACTTTTCTTGTTTTAATAGAAGTGATTGTTCATTATAACAATAACTTCTATTGTTTTGGTCCATTTAGCTGGCTAACGTACTGTCAGCTCAACTGACCAGTTAGTTCAATATATTGTCTGCTTGTTTTACTTTAATGATGAGCGCTTTCATGTCATATAATAACTTATTTTCCATTTTTTTGTGTTTTTCTCCATTTTTCGAAGACTTTTTTTAAAATAACAATACTACTATCAATATCAACTGTGGTCAACTTCATGTCAATCGTGCACTCTGCCATGACAGCTGTCAGCACATATTTATATCAAATATTCAATTTGCTTTTATTTAGGTTATAATCGACCAGAATTGAATAAAAGCAAAAAAAATGTCTTTTAAATTAATTTGTGGCGGTTTAGTTTCAAAATTATCGCAATTAAGCTTAACACATGTGAATAATTTTCACACAACGGCAATTGCAGCCGGAAAAATCAATCGAATGAAAGATAGAAAATCGATGCTTAAAACTGTACTCAAGAAATCGGATGGAGTTCAAAGTAGCTCCACGGCAGATATCGATAGTATTGCAACAAGGTTTGTATTTCACATGAGAATTTTATACATTTATTCCAACATTAAAACATGGTAATCATTGGTAACTTCAGCCAAACGTTTCAACGCTTCCCTGATGTGAATCTGCCGGATAGAATGTACGGTGATACTCCGTTCAAGGAATTGCCAATTGCACACATTCGTGTATCAAAAAACAACACAATCATTTCAGTGACCTCCAAAGATGGCAAAGTGCGTTGCATCAATTCAGCCGGTAAAGAAGGATACAAAAATTGTCGTAAAGGAACTAATATTGCTGGACAAGCAACGGCTATATCATTGAGCAAGGTACTTACTTATTTGTATATATTGTGTGTAACACTATGACTACCCATCCGATGAACATTATGATAACAACACTTGATTAATTCGGAATTACAATGTATTTTTTATAGATGGCTCTTAAACTGGGAATTCATACAGTTCGAGTTACAATTAAAGGACTTGGACCCAGCAGAGCATCAGCGGTGAAAGGCTTGCAAATGGGCGGATTAAACATCATATCCCTCACTGATGATACACCAATATCAGAAAAACCGCCACGACCACGAAAAGCTAGACGGGTTTAAGTTACTATAAAAGTGGATTAAATTAGTTTGGACTTTGTATTTGAATCAATTGAAATAAATGGAAATGAAAAATAGAAAATCATATTTATTTGTTGAAGATTGATCATTTTAGCCAAATATACATTTAGTGTACCAATTTTTCTGGGCGACAAATCTTATTTTTCAATTGTTATCCTCTTTTTTGATTTAATGTTCCATTCCTTATGTTAATCACAAGAGAATAACATCATAATAACACGATTTTGTCGATCGACAATGTGCCCGAAATCCTAGAATATATTTCCATCACTACGACAGTTTTGGCATATTTTCGGCATGTAGTAATGTTATTACAAGAAATAATATGGATCTTGGCAAAAATAGAGACTGGTTACCAGAAAACGCTATATTCTATTCCTGCCGTCCACTCAGATCATTCAAACACATCCACATAGTAGATAGATGTCACTATTGAGTGCCTTCCAGGAATCAAGTGTAATTAAATGGCTAATGATCATTACTCGAGTCATTAGAAACTTTCTAAGAGAGTATATTTGGAATTACCCTAATTACAAAAGAAATACATATAAGGGAGTGCATGTGCATACATTTCATCAGTCCAGTTTTACACTATTTTAAGACAGTCTACTTTCAAATAACTTTTCCAAAACAGTCAATAATAAAACAACAGAGTAATAAAATTTAATTCAATCATTTTCGCCAACAAATAGCAATATTTTAAATAAGGTGAATAGTAAATTTATCATTCAAATAAATTATTTTATTTTTTTGAGCTCTTTTATAATACCGAGAAAAATGGTTTGGAATAGAAGTCACCTCAAGAGGAAAGGAACGGAATCTCAGTTGCAACCACCTGCAAAAGTGACGAAAATCTGCAAAAAAACCATCAAAAGTGACGAAGAGCCAATTAGAAGAGGGATGAAATTCATACTTAATCCGCACTGTTGGCTCAAAGTGTTTGACTATTTTTCAATCGAAGAATTGCATTCATTCTGTAAATTAAGTGCTGAAAATGATCAATTTTTCACAGGATTGGTTAATACTTTCCAGATTGGCGGAAAACTATTAACATTGGATATATCACGCTATGATTCAGGGCAAGATGGATTGGAAATGAAAAGTATTCTAGCCACATTTGGAAGATCATTGACAAGGCTGAGAATTGAAGTAAATAAGGACAATCGGTTTGGGGAGGCCGTCCAAGCAATCATCAAATATTGTTCAGTTGGTAAACTTGAGGAGATTCAAATCCATTTCTCAACGTATGGAAACGCAGTTAAGAATTGGTCTCAAATGCAAGAACTCATCCCATATATTCGTGCCATAAAACATTTATACATCAAAGTTGATGGAACTTCACATGTGAATAAACTCGGTGCTCTCTGTTCGTTCTTCATAAATGAAGCCAAAGAACTTAAAACACTAAAGTTGATGAACATAGAATTTAATCAACTAACGACGACAAAACAAACCCAATTGACCGAATTGTATTTGATCAATTCAAATATGTTTGTCAGCGGTGACTTTAATTTTATTAAAGCACTCCCACAGTTAGAGGTATTTCAATATAAAAGCGGAATTTCAAGAGGTTCGGTTGTGAGCGGAACTGGTGAAGCATTAGCTAAATATTGCCCGAAATTACGAAGCTACTCCGATATTTCACCCATTAATGAAGAAAATCCACTTCGATATAGTTTCCTGCAAAATATGAATGGCTTAAAAGAAGTAACTATTTCGTCGAAACCAAGCATTGGCGAATCATTGCGAATAATTCCGGCACTATTGAAGGGTAGTTCACCCCATAAAGTGGTAATTAATTTAGGTAAACATAACCGGTTTTTAGAACCGTCTAATGAAAATATGGTGACTTTAACCAAAAGCGAAGCTGAAAGAAATTTCTCAAGTGCGGAATTTCGTTTGAACGAACGTAACTCAAATATTAACAATTGTGCAAATTTGTTACGAAAATTGTCATCATCAATGAAAGCAGTGCGCCAATTGAGGTTAGATGCAAGATCATCTATTCGCAATATGTCTGAAATACTTCAATACGTACCGAACTTACAAGAGTTGTGCATCTATAACAATGGATTATTCCAAATGCCCGCTGAAGTTCGAAAGATTAAGAGGGCGATCGGGAATATTGTGAAAGATCGCCAATCGAAAGTAATTCACGTAATTGTAAGCGAGGAAATGGAAAGAGAATTTAAATCAATCAAAAATATTGATGAAGTCATCACAATGTCAGTAAAGCGACGTTGTTTCAAAAGATAATGCTCACAGAGGCATCGAACATTTTTATGTATTTTCATTTCAGGTTCAATTTTTTCGTTCATTCACAAACAATATATAACTAATTGTAATACCAAGATACACAGTTAAATTGTTTTATTCGTGCGCAAATTGATTCATATAATGTTAATAATATTCCATTTCATTGTGAACATTTTTTTTGAATAAAAACCAAAAATTGACATATACTTCTGGCTTTTTTTTACTATACCTCCAAAAATGCAAAAAATAAAAATTAAAGGGTATTAATGCACATGCACAAATAATTAAACCCGTTGGACGAACCTAGCAAATTCGAATTTATTCTTCTTAAGATATTTTGTCATCAGAATCACAGGTGAGACAAACCCCCTTCTCAGCCATAAACTATTGTTTAGCGTGCGGACACGAGTTCGATTCTCGGTCAAATTTTGAGCAGTATTTTTGCATCGTGATTCGCTCAGGGACTAGGGGGTTTAATATTATCTAATATCTTCTAGTTTTTTCTAATAAGCGTACAAATACAGTGACGTATTGCTATGGTTTCTAGTACACTAATATCTCTAATAAGTTCTAACATCTTTTAGTATTTTTTATCTCGTGTCTCCCCCTTGGACCGAATCTCTGCCTTGTGGAGTGCTTGGAGGGCACTTAAAGAGAATAAAAAGAATAGTGTAAGCGCTGCCGGCGATTTTTGGTTGCAAAAAGGACTCAACTAATATCAATTCCCTGAAAATATCATAAAAATTCACATATCACAAAAATGATACATTCTCATAGGTTTCAGTTCTATTCGATGTAGAAACAAATCGAGAAACCCATGAAACATATCAACTTTAATTTTGGGAAGTGTAATGAGTCTTTTTCAAGGCTTAGTTACAACAGCACATAACACCAAGGAATTTTTTTACCAGAAAATGACGGGAGGAAATAAAAACGATTTACAAGGTCATAAGTTTGGGGTTAAAAATGACAATTATATCGGATCCAAATTGTGTACTTTAGATCAATTGTTCTGAATAGCAGGTAGTAATATAATTGCAACAAATGATATAAAAAACTTCAAATTGTCATACACAATAGATGTCGCTATTGAGAGCCTTGCAGCAACCAAGTGCAATTAGATGTATGTCATTTAGTATGGTATGATGTGCAATGCTAATGAGTCATTATAAAGGACATTTTGCAATATTCAAATTACAAAAATATTTGTATATAAGGTCGTGCATGTGCATTGATTCATCAGTTTAGTTTCAAAACTACTGTAGCACAGTCTAATTTTAAAAAAACTTTTTCAGAAAATCGTTCAAGCGTTTTTATTTTCGTTAAGAAAAGAATTTATCAATAATTTTTATCTGCTTTTTTCGGAACAACCAGAATAATGAATTCGAACATACAGCAAAAAAAGAGAAAAGCTACAGATTCTCAACTGGAACAACTTGCAAAAATGCTGAAATATTTTGGACCATCCAGAAACGGCTTAAAGGACATACTTAATTCGGACTGTTGGTTGCATATTTTTATGTTTTTGCCGATGGAAGATTTGTACTCAATTTCACAGTTGGATGTTGAGGACAAACCATTTTTCACAACATTGATCAAAAGTTCGTCGATAGGTGGTCGATTATTAACACTGGATATGTCACTTTACAATTTAAACATGGAAAATATTCTAACCACATTTGGAAAATCATTGAAAAAGTTGAGAATCGAAGTGAAGCATTCATTTTGGTTCCGAGAAGCCATACAAAAAATTATCAAATATTGCTCACCAGGTAGACTTACGATGCTTCAAATCGATCTATCAGACTGCGGACCCATAGCCCAAGATTATTTTCAAATGCAAGAACTCATCCCATTCATTCGCGACGTAAAACATTTGCAAATCACATACAATAAAAACGCTCCAAATGAATACGGCACACTCTGTTCGTTTTTCATAAATGAAGCCAAAGATCTCAAAACGATTAAGTTGAAAAACATTAACTGGGGTGACACCAAATTTAGTCAACAAATCTTGATTAGAGAAACCCAATTGACCGAATTGTATTTGATTAATTCAGGCATGTTTGACAGTGACTTCAGATTAATTGAAAAACTCCCACATTTGAGAGTATTTAAATGTAAAAGCGATTCGATGAGTGGGACGGTTCTCAGCGGAATTGGAGAGGCATTGGCTAAATATTGTCCGAACTTAGATACCTACGCCGATATTTCGTGTGCTGATGATGAGAATACAATTCGATATAGTTTCCTGCAGAAGATGAGGTGCTTGAAAGAAGCAACTATTTCATCGACTTCAACCAATGGCGCAGCCGTGCTTATCATTCCGGAAATATTAGATGAAGCTATTTCCCTTCGGAAGATGGTCATTAGCTTGGGCTACAATGACATGGTAATACTGTCCAAAAACGATACAGAGACAAGCTTAACAACTGTCGAATTTTACTTTGACGATTTTAATTCAAATATTGAAAATTGCGCAACTTTCTTACGAAATCTATCATCATCAATGAAATATATTCGTCATGTTAGTATAGATGGTATGGATTTCGTTTGCAATGTGCCGGAAATTCTTAAACATGTGCCCAATCTAGAAGAGCTAAGCATTTATAAGAACCAATTTGTGAAACTTCCAGTTGAAGCACGCAAGATAAAAAGCGCCATTGAGAAAATGGTTAAAGGACGCTGGTTGAAAACAGTTCATATAATTGCTAATCAGGAATTGGAAAGAGAATTTAAGGTGCTCAAGAACATTGATGAAATCATCACGATAACAGCCAATCCACAATTGTGCTCGAGGGGAATTGAAGTGCTCCTGTAATCATTCGGGCACGCATACACTCATTTTATATTTTATCCATAATCTGCTGTCATTTTCAAAAAATCGGAATTGTTTAATTTTTTTTAATTTTTAAAATAATCTTCTTTTTTATTCTCATTTCTTTATATCTGAACAGAAATTCAGCTAATGATCATAATTTAATATTAATTAAGAATGCTTTTTATGGCACTCATCTCAATTCAATTCCTTGCAAACCGAAATGTCCATACCTATTTTCTTAATAATTAATTTAAATACAAAAGCAATTCCCTTGCATTGTAATCTTGATTGTGCTCAATTCGATTAAACTTTTCTATTAAATTTTTTGTAAATTTGTAATGTTGGAGAGAAGCAAAATAAAAAATAATAAAAAAATAAATAATACTCCTTTTTTCATTCTCATCCCTTTGGACCCGACCAGAACTGCAGGTAATATTAATCGCTGGAAAATCAATGGAACACAATGGAATATTAATTAAGAATGCTTTTTATGATACTCATCTATCTCAATTTTATAGTTCAAATTAAAGCGTGTCAACACTACGAAATTAAATTGAAGTGACTTTTACAATTTACGAAGTGGTGGTTAAAAATTGTAATGAATACAATAGAATGGAAACAAATTGACTACTTTAAAACAACTGTCTCTAATAGCAGGTAGTAATGGCAAAAAATTAGAGACGCAATGCAAACGCTATAATTTATTCTTACCATTCAAACACATTCACATAATAGATAGATGTTGCTTTTGCGTATATTGCAGCAATCAAGTGCATTTGGTATAGTATAATGTGCAATGCTAATGAGTCATTAGAAAGGACATTTTGCAATGTCCTAATTACAAAAGTATTGTTGTATTGTAATAACCGTTGAATTTTCAAAACGAAAATGTTTGAAAACTTTTTTATTCATCATTGTGACTATTTTGCGAGTAAAGCATTGACGTAAGGAATGAACATTTGAATAAATAATTGTTTAAAAGAATTTTCTTTTGGCAACATTTGTGAGAAAAAATCAATCAAACCTCTTTTTTGGGCATGAATTTCGGGTATTCAATAAAATATGATATTATTGTCAGTTTTTTTGTTCATTTTGCTCCTTCACATGAGAAAAACCACATTTTCGAAACTCGTAAAAAAGTCTTTGGAACCAATTTTCAAAAAACTTTGTGTACACCATGTGTTTGAATATTAAAAAAATAAAAATTGCCAAACAAAATAAAAAAAATACAATATTCAACGTGGAAATGCATATTTTATTGCCACTGTCCTTGATGTTAACATAGAATGTAGCTGTTGAAAATTATTTTGTTGACAGTCATAAAATTCTAATAGTAAGAATAAATAGAATCTTTTTATTTCATTGTGTTATGTGAATCATAAACTCGACTAAATGAATCACCATTTATTACAAATCGCCATTGACGGAAGTTACCTTTGACTGTTACTGCCAACGAAAATAAGTCTGATATAACTCCCGGTATGTCTTCAATATCCGCAGTTTTTGCCAAATCTGTACAGTATCTTCTCTGGCCATATCCTAATAAATGAGGTTTGTTTCTTACTATGAGTTTCTTCGATTCCATTATCATTTCATCATGTGGCGGCAGGACTATCTCATCAGATATGTATTTTAATGCAAAGCGAGCCTTTTTTTTGTTAAATAATGCATTTTTACCAAACCAATTTAACTTGTAAATATTTTGTAACAGTATTATATTCACCTGCAAATCGTACATCCAAAAATGTGCAGCACTGTAAGGAACCTAGTTAATATAAAACGTTTTAAATATAGAACGAGACAATAAATAAATGATGGATGGTACCCCGATAAAGGCCATTGTTGAATGTTCAATATTTAAAATTTGCTTATACAATGGATATACGTATTTGTCATGAACTTGGATACCAGTGTTTTTCTTCAAAAATGGATAAGAATATTTATAGCCTGACAAGAAGAAGAATAAAAGGTTCCATGGCTTTTTTTTAAAGGAATATTTGATTTTCCAAATTTAAATGACATCTACCTGTTGCATAAATAACTACAGAGATATTTCTTCGTGTCCCGTCCTGAAATTCAACAGAATTTTTTCCAGTGAAACGTTTAACATTGCCAAAAGTGACCAAGTTAGATTCCTTTTCGGATAATGGAGGGTCTTCTTCCTCGTCATCAAAACCTTTGCTGCAAAATTCTCGAGCCTTTCCTAAACCATTCGGACATTTTTTTTAAATAAGACGAAATTATAATTCTTGAAATTTGCTTATATCGATATCATGAAATAATTATTTTCTGTAATAAATTCACTTAATACCTATCAATTTTTTCGTAGTAGAAATTTCTGGAATGGGAGCAGGTTTATAGGAGCTGTGTAATACTGATTTGGCAATCCCTTGGAGTTGATTAACAATATCATGACCACTGACACCTTGTCCGACAACAAGAACATCCTTTCCTATTTTAATTTGGCAATAAAAATGAAATTTACATGAAAAAACATCCTTTATCAACTCTGAACATTAAATAAATCGTCTTAAAATGTACCACTAAAGGTTTCAGGTATACGGTAATCGTGACTGTGCATAGAAATTCTTTTGAATTTGTTAACTCCTTCTATCTCGGGTTTGCGTGGTTCCGAATTGATACCAGTGCAAACAAAAACAGCATCAAATATTTTAGTTTCGGTCCGTTTTTTGTTTGTCATATTTTTAACAGTTATTTTCCATTTGTTGTTTTTAATTGAAACAATTTTGTCAACCAAATGATGGAATTTTATGTGCTCCGTTAAATTGAAATCACTTGCATAAGAATTTAAATATTTTAATATTTCGGTGTGGGATGGATATCCTTGTGTCTCCTCTGGATATTCATATCCAGGAAATTCAATCAACTGATATGGTATGTTTGTCCTATTTGAAAATACGTGAAAATTAAAGTCATTTCAAAACGTGATTTTAAATACGGCTAAAATTCGTTTTTCAAAAAGTATATACTATCACTTAGAGACACATCCAAAAAACCTGACAACAGCAACCTAGCTGATAATACAACGTTAGATAACATCTATAAAATCCTATGTAAAGCCACTGAAAATATCACCAAATTACACACACACAAGAAAACGAAAAAGAAATTGTCCAAAAGCTGACAAGTTTGATCGACAAGTAGACTATTAATTTACCTAACAAAATAAAATTCAATCTAATTTACTTGACTGGTCAATATAGACACAGATATTAAGCAATCGATTGATGAGAAAATATTTTTGAAATTGAACCAACATATATATTTTTTGAATGAGCAGACAAAATTTGGTTCCGAATGGTATATTTTCATACATTCTAACGAAAGAAGAGAAACGAGTTTTCCTGCAATAAATACTTTTTCATACCTGAGATCACGATACATCGGAGTATGAATATCAACACCGTACTCATCTACCCCAGTTTTATCGGTATAATACCATATTCCTCCGAGTACTCCGGTCTTTTCGTAAATGTTTACATTGTGTCCCTGTTCGATAGCATTTTTGGCACTAGTAAGACCTGCTGCTCCGGCTCCAATAACAGCTATATTTAGAGCTTCACTTCTGCCCAAAAATCCAAAAATAAATGTCACAAAGGTCCATTTTATTTTGTGCAATACTAGCATTTTATTTCGTTTTTGTTCATTCAGAATGTTCGTTTACTATTTTTTTATTTTTCGTTTTTTTATTTCGCTATTTGAACTTCAATTGATATCAACAATTCAAAATAAGATGAATCGAATAATGGACATACACGACACTAGTTCTCTTTTGCAAATAACAAAATTACGAAAATATTATTATGTCTCTTAGCTAGAACAGATGTTGTTTTGTAATAATGAAATATATAGTTATATATCAATGTAGCAGAATGTCTTGACATCAAAGCAGATTGTTAACCGTTCTTTCGATAAAAAAAAAAAAAATTCCAAAGAAGAACGTCAATGACGTTACGTCAAATAATCTTTGAAATTTTTTGCTTTCGAGAGTTAGTGTATGACTAAAGTATAGAAAGTGTTATTGACGAATTGTCAACAACATATTTGATTGTTTCACGAGTTAACTCAATTTTGCCACTTCGAACTATTAGTATATCGATAGGATAGTATGTTTTCATTCACCTATAAGTGCTGAATGATATACTCTCCTATCGATATATTGTATAGATTTATTGATATATCAAATATTTCTGGGTTCAAAACAAAATTGCTTTAAACAATTATTTATTCAAATAATAAATAAAATAGTGACGATGATAAAAAAAGCTTTTACACATTTTCGTTTTTAAAATTTAACGGTTATTACAACATATGTAATAAGCGGTGAAGAACGCAATTTTTGTCATCAAATATGTCCAGCACCTTCCGATTTCATTTGAAATTCGTGATGCGACCGGCGAAGAGAGCGGTTTTTGTTTCTGTATCCCAAATATAGTACATAAAAGGATGGTCAACAATGAACTTCAATGGTTGCACTGGCTGTGGAGGGTAACTTATCAAAGTAATACCGACTATAGCTGTAAAGTAAAATTTGTAAACAACGCGAGATAATATAATGGCATAAATCTTTGAATTAGCTTACTAGCAGCAGCAGCCTCTGAGCCTTCTTCAGTTATTTCGATAAAAGCTTTATGAACTACGTCGGATACAAATAACTTTTCTGGTGTCTCCAAAAGTCCACTCAAATTAGCTTTATGTGCATCAAACATCTCACTCATGCCCAGCTAAATAAATATGCATTTCAAAAACATTAAACACGTGAAACCAAAAGAGTAAAAGAAATTAACACAAAATCAACGTACATTTTTTAATATTTCATTTAAATTGACTTCGTATTCGATTTTGAACTTTGGCATAATGACTTCAAAGCCATATGGGTATCCATTTGTAACTTTCGCGATATCATAATTTTTCAATTTGCTTTCCACTACTGATAGTCCTGTACGTTGACGTGGCAAAACAATTAGAAATGAGAATTTTGAATCAGCGTACTTCAGCTCAAGTACATCAGCATCTAATTCATCCGAACGTCTGAATTTGAAGTTGCTTGTAATTTGCATGAAATCAACAGAAACCGTTTCAGTTTCGCTGATATAAAAGTCGCGCTTTTTAGTTTGTTCTTTATCAAATCTATTTTTCCAATTTCCTTTGAAATAGATAGCATTCACCAATACAACAGCAGAACTACTGTCAATGCTTTCCGGTGTGACTAAGTTGTTGATTTTGTCGTGAGTTTTTTCTTCCACAAAATGATTAATTATTTGAGCAGCCTCACTTCCATTTTCAAAATTTATTGATTCAACGCCAGACGAAAACTGCTTCTCAGCCACTTCTTTGAAATGCGGATTGAGCGAATAGCCTTGTTTCACATAAATTTGATTGGCAATCGATAGGGTGGATTGTCCAGCGCCGTTTTGAATCAATGTATTGTATGCGTTAATCTGATTTGCCACCGCCGTTTTGTTTTCATTCAAATGTAGGGAATTTATCATTTCATTGAATGTATTTCCCTCGGTGGCTTGAGAGAGTAAGGCGAGTGCACTCAAAATAGATAGCGGCGATAAAAACACATTCTCATTTACCGAGTGTTGAACACATTGCTGTAAAATATCAATTATTTAATGAATATTTCGATGAACATTTCATACCCAAATTACCTGATATAAGTCTATTGTAAATGTTCCAAATGAATTGGTTAGCTCATTCAATTGGATTTTAGGTGTAGAGTTAAGTAACGACATCGTGTTGCTATGATGTTATTCTCTTGTGATGTACATAAGGAATGAAATCTTCTTTAACACAAGCTATACTTAAATCAAAAAGAGTGATGATGTCAATAAATTTTGATAACAATTTAAAAATAAGATTTTTCGCCCAGAGAAACTGGTACGCTAAATGTATATCAGTCAATAACAAGGGTAAAGGTTAAACAAGTGTACACATCATTGCCAAATTTATGATTAGAAATTTATCACTTTTGAACCATAGCCGTTCGTTAGTGTTCCTGTTTTGATAAAAAAATGTGCTTTTTTTCGTTTCCATTTATTTCAATTCATTTATACACAAAGTCCAAACTAATTTAATCAACATTTACAACATTTCGGTTAGAATATTCGTGAGCTCAGGAAATTTGTTAAATTAAAAAAGCAACATGTTCATATAAAAAATGTATGGGAACGTTGCAATTTTATTTTATAGTAACTTAATTCATTTCTAGTAACTTAAACCCGTCTGGCTTTCCTTGGTCGGAAAAACCTTATTTTTTTTCTATTTTTTTGACTCACACTACCTACTTCAAACTTTACAGAATTTTAGTGATTAATTATTGAAAATTTGTGATGCAATTTTTAGAATTTGTGACTTACCAGGAAATGAGTTACAAGCCTAAATTTGAAAAGCCCATTCACCAAAATGTCTATAAATAAAATTATGAAATATTCGACAAATTACAAAGTTTCAAAAATCTAATGATGCAGTATTTTAGTGATTTTCTATACGACATCTGGTGGCACATTTTGATCAAAAAATTGAAAATTGCCCAAATATAAATTATTGTCGAAAATTATGTATTTGTAATTTATTTTATTTATTCCAATTGAAAGATATATATTAGTTTATTTATAATATTTCTTCTTTGATATAATTGGTATCATTAACAACACTGTGCGTCACTCAAAATGTGGTGGAGACGAGACCCACCGTTTTTACATAATTTGGGTATGCTGACTTCAATGGCATCACTCGTTTTTCTCTATCACGTCAGGATTTTCTACAATTTTCCTAGAGAGTTTTCCGGAAAACCAAAATTGGCTGTTTATACTCTAGTAACATTTTGAATTCATGCAATATCCCAGTGGGGTGACCTATCAGGGGTTGTACTACGGTTCAAGTTTAGTAAAGCCACACAATTCGTTAAAAAAAATTGAGTCATTTGAAAAAAAATTGATTTGGTTATTCCCCTCTGAAGTCCAGATTTTGAAGTAAAATTGGTATCCATTCAAACGCTCTGAAAATGAGTATTTGCTATAAAATTGGGTTTGAATACACTTACCATACAAAAAGTATCCAAAATGGTCAAAAATGACAAAAAATGTCAACGTGTGGTAAGTGTATTCAAATGGAATTCCAATACCACTTGTTATAAATATGACATAGAAAAATAGACAAAAATAATAACAATTCTTTTTTTAAATGTGTTTTACAAAAATGAAATAATTTATAAGAAATCATAACATGAACTGAAATTCAAATAAGAAAATGCAAATTTTAAGTAGTGGATTAAACTTTTCCAAAGAATATTAAAAATGCAAAAATCATCATAAATTGTTCACTCGGTACAGTCAAAAATCAAGAAGCAATCAAAACTACTTGAAAAATGGTCGCGAAATAATTATTTTCATCTTAATGATGACATGATTTTATCAAATATTCCTCTTATAAATTATCATCATATTCTTTGGTGAAGTTTTCATCGTCGATTATGACATATTTCATTTCACGAAAATCCGGCGAAACATTTGAACATATCAAAGCATCTACAAGTATTTCTGAATAAATTTCTGGTATACTATCAATCTCAGCAGTGTCCGCAAGATCTTTATAATATAGTTTGTGCATCAATCCCAGTAAATGAGGCTTGCTTTTAAATGATATCATCTTCGAATCTTCCAGCATTTCTTTATATGATGGCAATAGTTTGGCTCCAGAGATGAATTTCAGTGCAAAACGTGCCTGGTCGCAAAACATGTATTTTAATTGTATACATTATTACGTACACTCATTTTAAAAGAAATTTTGGTTACCTGCAAATCATACATCCGATTGTGAACCGCAGTAAAAGGAATCTAGTAAATATAAAAAGTTTGTAAATATAAGAAGAGACGACAACAAAAATGCATTAGATGATACCCCGATAAAGGCCATAGTTGGGTGTTTAATGTTCAAAATTTGTTTATACAAGGGATCAACGTGATTTTCCTTAACCATAATTCCAGAATTTCTACTCAGAAATGGAAAAGAGTATTTATAACCTGAAAAAATAATAAAGAACATCGTTTAACTAAATCTTTTATTTTCACATACATGATTGTACTAAATGGACTTTAATCTTTCAATATAACCTGTTGCATAGATAACGACTGTGAAATTTTGAATCGTCCCATCATCAAATTCGACTCCATTTGATCCAATGAATCGTTTCACGTTGCCTTTAAATGAGATATCATTTGCAAGTAAACCGAATTGATGCTGTTCTTCTTTTTTATCGAGGCAATTACCACATATTTCAACAACTTTTTCTAAAATATTCGATACTTGTCATTAAATTGTAAAAGTATAACTGATCTGACTAAAATGTTCGAATGTACTATAACCATGGGGAGATTCACGCTAGTAAATACGAGAAAATTTTAGTGCACGTAGAAAATTACGTACAACATAATTTGACGTAAAGTCATTATGAATAGTCTTAATTTGGCTACCGTACGTATTATAATTTAAAAAACGTCAACGTCAGACTATTTAAAACATTTGAAGGCTTCAAAACACAGCATCATGACTTCAAATATAGTAAATTATAAAATTTAGTTTTTTTCACTATCTTTTGTTAGATTAAACAAAACAAACAACGCATTTTCCACATCTGAATGATCAACCACTTGACAGATGGATGCGTAACATCTCTTATAAACTGTAAGAGATAGTAAACACTAGAAAAACTAGAAAACTAAAAAAACTAGCTGCACTAGAATTTCGTAAATGACTCCATGAAAGTGACATTCAGTAATCGACATGGGTGAAAATAAATCAGAATTTAAGTTTCTTTGTATTTCGTCTTCATTTTTGTGTCTCACATTTCAGATATGTAGAAGAGCAAAATCAGTGAAGAAACAAATCTCATATAAACACCTTCAAAAAATTTTAATTAAGAAAATATTTCCTTTTCAAACCAACAAACAACTCACCTATGATTTTTATAACACGAGATTCATTTGGACCATCTTCACGAGAGCTAAGCGTTATTCGGTTGGCAATATTGTCGAGTTGGTTCACCACATCGTTACCACTTGGACCAGTTCCAACAATTAGTACATCTTCTCCTGTAAATTTAATTTCCGAAAGGGAAATGATATTAACCACAAAATTAATATTAAATACTATTGTGATAAAAAAAACGTGTGATAAAATGAACCTAACGCCTGTCGATTCTAATATCTTATAATTTATTAATTTGTATGCATCTTATTGTCCAAAGGAATTAAATAGTAAATAAAATAAACCGAATTCATTATCTAATCAGTGTGTATAGACATATAGATAAGAAAAGAATTAAAAATCCATTTCGGGAAGGATTTATAGATTATGACGAGGGTTCCTAGGGTTCGGATTACCCCCCTCCAAAATATTTTTAGGAACGCTCAAAAATTTTGGAAATGAGGACCTTTTTTTTGCTGAGAAAATTCTTTCGATTTGCTAAGGATTTTCGCCAAGTGAAGAGCAAAAAAAAAACGATTTTATCCTCATTTCCTACAAATTGTTGACATCGTCAGGGACCCCATGGATTTTTCCAGGGACCCCCAACGGAATTTTGCCATCACCTTCCCCATCTAAATTTTTTCCATCGGAGTAGTTTTTTGAAAACTATACCAACAAAAGAGAAAAACGAAACCCTCTCTATATAGTTAGTACCAAACATACCTTCAAATGCTTCAGGTTTTCGATAGTTACGACTGTGCATGATTTTTCCTTTAAATTCTGTGACGCCCGCGATTTTTGGAATTTGTGGGGAAGAACTAATACCAATGCAAATAAAAACAGCGTCAAATGTTAACTTTACGCTTTGGTTTTTAGGCATGTCCTTGACACTTATTTCCCACTTCTTGTTTTGTATTGAATGGATTTTTTCAACCAAATGATGATATTTTATGTGTTCCTTTATATGAAAATGTTCAGCATATGAATCCAAGTACTTCCATACAACTTCATGTGAAGGATACGACGGTGTGCTTTCTGGATATGTGAAATTTGGAAACTCCATGGTTTGGTACGGTGTATTTGTTCTAATTACAAAAAATATAATAATAAAAATATTTCGCATTATTCTTCCAGCTTAAATTAAAATGATTTTTTTCATACCGTAGCTCTTTGTACATTGGAGTATGAATATCAACACCATATTCATCTTTCCCTATTTGGTCCGTATAAAACCATACCCCACCGAGTGCCCCGCTTTTTTCGAATATCACCACATTGTGTCCATCTTCAATGGCATTTTTTGCACTCGCAAGACCTGAAGCTCCGGCGCCAATTATAGCAATATTCAAAATCTTTTTCACATTCGAATGTGCGGCTACATGTGTACTCAATGCAGAATACACGAATGCCAAAATTAAACATTTAACTGTAACGGATACCATTATAGATATTAACTGATGGATACAAACTCGACTTTTTGTAAAGACTATTGACCTGTAATCAAATGTCGCTTGAAAAAGTCCTTTCTATTAACAATACACAGTTCGGTTAAGTCATCTATTGTATACTACCACCGTCCGCACACTACTAGTTGAGAAATGATATATCAGAAGTGTATTGTGTAAGATATCATTGTGTAAACACACGTGTAATTTTTTTTTAATTCTTCAATTCTGTTTTAGGAGAAATATTTTTTCCGCGTGCGTTTGCAATATTGACGCAAGTCGGTATAGAAAAACGTTTTGAAAGAAACGTACCAATAGATCCAAACACAACACCCATTTTATGTAGGCGATTCCGTAAATGAAATAATTACGTCAAAGTGAAATTGGAAAACCTATGCATTTCATTCGGTGTGGTTATTTCTTTACTTCGCTCGAGACAGGAGCAAGAAAAGTGTGAAATCGGGAATTTTTCTTAAATAAAGAAAAGCATTCCAAAGTTTCAGCCATTGAACTAAAAATGACCTTTCTGAGTATCCATTGTTTCTTTTCTACTGACGATCGCTAACAAATGAACTACCAGTAATACATTCTCGATATCGCATTCTCATCAAGGCTTACTAAATTTAGTTATAAATTAGCTACACCCACCGATAACACCTTTGATCCCAAAATCGTGAAAGATGAATATGGATTAAGATGAATATCAGACATTATAATGAGATATTTTCAGCCAGATCAATCAGCTCAGCCAGATATCGTCAGGAACTGAAATGGAATGAAAACAATAAAATTGATTGTTATAGTGATTGTAGCAATATAAGTTTAATTATAGCCATAACAATCACTTCTATTGTTTTCACTAAATTTCACCTCCTGACGATATCTGGCTGGGCTGAATCATCTGGCTGAGAATATCTCATTATAATGTCTGATGAATATCACCCGGGATTCAAAATTAAGTAAATGCGCACACTGTCATTACCAAGGACCGGTTCGTGCATATTTCCATGCTTGCCTAGATACGCTAGGTAGCATAGATATGCCAAGCATAGCGGCAAATGCAACCGACGCATCGCCGTCCACTCTGTATGAACATACACATATTCGTGTATGCAGGCGGCCGTGCTTTGAGACACGTACGCATAAGATATAGCTCGATTCGAATGGCGACGGATGCGTTGCGGCTTAGCATAGCTATCTTGCATAGAAATATGCGCGAACCGGTCCCTGGTCATTACACCCACGAATGACGTCTTTATAAGTATCCATGGCGTAAACTAAGTTTGCGAAAATGGATGAATTGTAGATCCTTTGAATGTAAGACCGGTAAGAAAATCTTAAAACATCCGTCACCAAGGAGCCATTCACCTTGCTATTCACAGCCTAATTTTGATAGTTTCTCCTAGTGCGTGAAGCTAATGTATAAATTATAAGTAAAAAACACTTCTTTAGATGTTCTCACTGTGACGCAATACTGCATATCAAATCTGAAAATGATCTGATATAAATTTTCAGTGACGCTTGCAATCAAATACACAAACAATTTTTATATTGCGTTGCCTCTTGGGCATTATTACAATGAAATTTTAATTTTTAATTTTCTAGGAATGATTCAACGCGGTCAAATTTTGATTTTTTTTTTTGCGGATTCTCAATTTGGTGCCCGAGCACTACTAAAATATGCAAAAACCCTTTTCCACAAGTCAGCGGTATCGATTTTCATTTCTTTACAGTATATATAGAGTGACGCAAAAATACATATCACATATAAATATATGTGTATATGTATCACTGCCGTCCCCCGTGATATTATCCAAACAAGAGATTTCATATAAAATGAAATTTTTATCCATCAACCAAATTCGCTCAAAATCTAATGATTTCTATTCCTCGCAACCCCCAATCATCCTGTAAAATCATATTTTAAATAACTTTTCTGTAGAGTTCAATTACAATATTTCATCAAAGTTTTGAATTAAGTTGAAACCAACGCAAACTTTATTATTTAATATTTTTTCTTCTACAATGTTATGTTTGCTTTAGTATTAATCAGAGCGACCATGGATTAATCATTATTAATGATGTATTTGAGTGTTTTGCGAGTTAGAAAAGGCGAATTAGGCATATCGTCTGTTTTGAAACCTCCATATTTTTGAGCAATATTTGTATAACTAAAAAGTAAATGAACTATTTAGTACAGATCAACTAGAAATACTATTTCATTTTCTTACCTCATGCGGCCATCCTGCTCATATCCAACGTTATAAGCTGCATAAGCTTCATCAAATCTTGTAAAATAGGCGGATGTTGCTCCAATACCATTAGTCACACAGATCGCTTCTCTGAATTGTAGCATTTTATGAAAATTTTCCAGCCTACGCTGATCTTTTCGAACCCAAAAAACAGCACTGTTCAAAAAACTATCCACTCCATACTTTTCAGTCATATTAAAAGATAATTCTGAGTCAGACAATATATTGTAGTACAAGCTCACTTTTGGAAGAAGCTGAAATCAAACAAAACTCAAATTAAAAAAAAAATCTCTGAAAAATTCGGCATTTTTCTTACACTGGGTGGAATTGAAGTCCCTGAACCATCATTTAAATAAAGAATATTCAAACCAATCATTTTACCCTTTTTTACCCATACAAACGATTTGTTTTCTGCTATATATGAAATCCATTTTTCCCGAAAATAATTACGAGATTCTCCATCGTTGGAAATACCTTCAATATGTTTAAAATATTTTTTTTTATATGGAATTAAATAATGTGTTAGATAGACATAAAGGAGTACATGCCCGTTCCGATAAACAAGGGATCTTCATTTAGAGTTTCATTCATTAGCGTATTTATAGTTACAAGGTCATCAGTCGTCAGTAGTCTAAGACCAAGAGAACCCAATTTTGCATACATTTCAACTAAAAATGAGAAATTCTTTTTAAAAAAACTAAAAGTGGTAAAGTTTATTGGAAATATCATTTCGCTCAATTTAAAAATGTAAAAGTTGTACAGATTCGTCCTTACTTGTATCTTTAACCTTAACATGCTTGATTCCCAAGTCTGCGTCAACAAATTTCAATGCAAAAACACCAGCTAGTGTCAAAATGATAACTTTTGTATTTAACATTTTAACTTAATTTTGCGCAGAAAGTAATTTCGAAGATGACAAAACAACTGTACTGGCTATAACTCTCCAATGAACTTACATTTACACATGGGTCTCTATATAGGGCATTTTTGGAAAAGTATTTTATAAAAAATCGTTATGTTCTATTATAAATAGCATTCCATGCATATAAGCGTGATCAAATTGGAATCTTATTTACCATCTGGTTAGTATTATTAAATTTTTTTGATGACAATACAATGAGGACAAATGAGGAATAAACTTTATGTTTTTAAAAAATATACTTGAGACGAAACAAAATTGACGGCAATAATTGTTTATTCAGTTGTAATTATTGTTAATTACATCAATCCATTTAATCATTTCGATAAGAGAAAAATATTTTTTTTTTCATTTCTTTCTTAAAAAACAACTTTTACTTTGTTGTAAATTAGATATTAACTACATTTGTTAAACAGTTACAAAATATTATTTACATTCTTTAAATTGTTCGATAAACGTGCAGCATTCATTTTGTGAGGCTTCCATCTTTAATAGGATCGTCTTCTCCAACTAAATTAAGCTTAAGCAAACATACAAGAGCCTTGTTCAACGAATCGTCTATTTTTTCCCAATACGAGCTGGCGCATTTTTGGTCTTGAAACGTAATTATCGTTTGAATAATCGATCTTCTTGAATCAGCATTTTGTGGCATTTATCAAACACTCACTCAGAAATTCATTTTCAGCATGGTTTAAAAAAAAATCGAATGCGAACAAATAAAAAAGTCACTTCAAAATTGTACCTCAAAAATCTAGGGGGTATTTTCGAGTCGTTTTCCAGAGGGGGATAATCTGGACCCTCGTCAACAGCTATGCTTCAATGTGAAATAGATATTAGTTTATCCACAAATGATTAATAAAAACTTAGAAAATATTATGCGCATCACAATTTCGATGTCTTATTTTTTCAGATACCACCACAACCATCTCAAACAATTAATATCTAAGTCATTAATCAAACTGAACGAATGTAATGCATAAATTTAATTAATAAATCGATCTAGAAATAGATACAATAAATAAATAATCACATTTTTTTTTATAGCTTAAGCTTTCGCAAATTAATTGTATATATTGAACAATTTTCGTTTTATTTTATGCATGTTACGACTTTCATTTCTGACAAGCCACAAGAGCTCTATAATAAGTTCGCTGTTTAATAAATAAGAAAAAAACACTTCTTTGGAAGTTCTCACTGTGACGCAATACTGCACATCAGATCTAAAAATGATCTGATATAAATTTTCAGTGACGCTTGCAATCAAATACACAAACAATTTTTATATTGCGTTGCCTCTCTCATTTTTAGAAAAATTAAAATGAAAATTTTATGCCCAAGGGGCATACACAGTGAGAACTTCCAAAGAAGTGTTTTTTCTTATATCATTTGTTTAACATTAAATTTAATTTTTCTGTTTGAAATCTACAAAATTTTTTGGCTCGCTACGCTCGCCTAAATTTTACATATTCTTTTATTACAATAATTTGAGTTTTCTAATTGCTCTCGAATTTTTTTTTACATTTTCAATTGTTTTTGTAAAATTTTGAAACAAAAGGAGAAATTTCTACTGTGAATTTGTAGTATGTATGGTTACCAAATCTATTCGAAACTAATTGTACCAATGTTTTAATTCATTTTCTTCAATTGAATAAAGCCCTCAAAATATCATTTCAAGGTGTAGTTTCCAGGCCGATTATCTCTAAAAATCAAAACAATTTCTCAAAAAGATTGCCCCCATTGGATTCCTTGGGTCCGAATTATGTGATATCAGTTGTTATAGTGAACGAAAATTATAAAATCCAAGTATGTTGTAGTTGGTTATTAAAAAAATCTTAAAAAGATGATCGGCCAAATACACGCTTTTTCCAATTTTGACCAATTTTGAAAAATGTTGGTTCTAAAAAATGTGCACATTGGTTCAAAATTGGGTGCTCATTCGATCTATGATTAAAAAAAATCGTTATTCACACGTTTTTTTTTTTTAAATTACGATTTTCATCGATATTTCCCCATTTTTTAATAGTATGGTCATAAATGGATTGAACCATCTCCACTGAATTTTTTTCAAAATTTTCTTCGCTGTATGCCCAACCTCTTTTGGTTGGTGTGAAAAAAGTCATGGTCATTTTTCCAAAAAAACAACACATGCAGCGCCATCTAGCGATCATTTTCAAATTTTTTTCCAATCTGACTTCAGAGCTGGATAGCTGAGGTTCGTAGCTTTCCAACGATAGATCATTACATCACCTCTCATATGCACAGAAAGTAGGCCATTCGATGAAAAACTGAAAAAGTGCATTCCACTTTTTTTCGAACCTAGACCTCAGACACTTGCGTGACGAAATCGAAAAATTCGAAGAAACTTGTATGCTCAGTTTTCCATCTACTTCCGAATAAAATCGGTCTCCGACGATTTATCAAAAATTTACTAAAATATGCAAAAACCCTTTTCCAAAAGTCAGCGGTATCGATTTTCATTTCTTTACAGTATATATAGAGTGCCGCAAAAATACATATCACATATAAATATATGTGTATATGTATGTTGGTATTGCGCCACTTGGGGGACTGCCGTCCCCCGTGATAGCCACATTAGTGTGAAGTTTTCGTCATGTGATAGTTTTTGCTAGTTTTCCAACCTGGATTTATATCTACCTTTATTGATTCGACTGTAGTTCCACGGATTGGTTTTGTATACGTTATCAGTCTGTTCTAATTTTTCAACTTTTTTTTGCTAACAAACGGGAGACATGCTGTTTAAACCGAATTCTGGCTCCAATGGTGATAGCAACTCGTAAATGAAAAAAATTAAAACAGAAAATAAAACCAGAGACAGAAAAATCGAGAAAAGCCGATTTTTGCTTGTAATGATAAAATACATTTCATTTTCACATTTATTTATTTCATTCAAATCCGGTTGCAATTTTATTATATTTTTGCTTTTGAAATTGTATTTTTCTTGATTATGTATTTATATTCTCTGTAAAAAGCATCGGCTTGACTTTGTAATGCATTCGTAGAAATATCTGATAAGACTTCTGGTACCTGGACTTCTGTTGTATTACAACAACAAATCTATGTTAAAAAAATGCTGTGTTCCGCTTTGCTATAACAACCATTCAGAGCGTTGTTTTTATTCTAGAGCGTTCAGTTGAAGTAACATCACAAGAATAACAAAAATTGAATTCGATGTTTTCTTTTCTATTTTTTTGCGTCGCGCTCTCATATTTTCCATTTGTGGTACGCAAACGATATACACAAATCTAGCAGAAGACAACAACGGCGATGCGCTTATATATTACGAAGACTTTGTGACCGCCATCTATATATGGTGGTATATGTCTGATAAAACCAGTCGGCGTGAAAAAAAAGTCATACCATTTTCATTCATATGAATTGATTTTATATATTGGGTGTGCCAATTAATTTTACTGTAACGCATCGGACCATACTATTACCATATTCACGTTAAAGTCACGTCATTTGACACTAGTTTTCAATATGTTTTATTTTGTCAAAGTGTAAACAACATATTTTTTTCGCTTAAAATCATGTCAGCCTACGTGCCAAAAAACAGCATTTGCGGGAAGTTTTATTTTTCTTCTTTAGTTCGAAGAAAAGTTCTGCTGAAAGTCATCGTTTGATCTCAGATACTTACGGTGATCATATTCTATCGATTTCAACCTGTGAGTATTGGTTTCGACACTTTAAAAGTGGTAATTTCGACGTGGAAGACAAAGAACGGCCAGGTCAGCCAAAAAAGTTTGAAGATGCAGATTTGCAAGCATTACTCGATGAAAATGCATGTCGAACGCAAGAAGAACTTGCAATGGAGTTGAATGTCGACCGAAGAACCATTTCTGTGCGTTTGCATGCAATGGGAAAGATTCGAAAGTTGGGAAAATGGGTACCACATCAACTGAATGAAAATCAATTGAGAGCACGAATCACAGCATGCAAACAACATCTTGCCGAGCACAAAAAACATAGTTTTTTGAGTAGAATTGTTACTGGCGATGAAAAGTGGGTCTATTAAGATAACCCAAAACGTAAAGGAGCGTATATTGATCCAGGCCAACCAGGACCGTCGCAGCCAAAACGAGACATTCATTGCCCGTAGGTCATGCTGTGCATTTGGTGGGATCAGAAAGTTATCGTGTATTATGAGCTGCTAAAATAAGGTGAAACGGTTACAGCTGAACGCTATCGACAACAATTGAACAAATTGGCGCATGCATTGAACGAAAAACGGCCGTTGGTAGCGAGAAAACACCATCGAGTTTTGTTTCACGACGACAATGCTAAGCCACATCGAGCACACATCGTCAAACAAAAGATAGAGGCGTTCGGTTGGGATCGGCTTGATCACCCCCCGTACTCTCCAGACCTTGCCCCTTCTGACTACCACTTGTTTCGATCAATGCAAATGGGCTTGTCTGAGATATCGTTTCGAAATCCTGAAGGAGTGCGAAAATGGATCGATGAATGGATAGCATCAAAAGATGATGAATTCTTTCGACGTGGAATCGACAAGTTACCAAGAAGATGGGCGGAGGTCATAGCTACCCATATGACTCATTTGCGGAGTAATTTTGTCGAGGGCGGGACTGTGCGGAGTTCGGCGGAGATAGTATGCAAATGCTGTGTATACGAGTGCAACAGCATTCTTTGCTATTCATAGATTTATTTTGTCCAAACGAAAATCACATAGAAGTGCTGTTACCCTCGCACACACAGAGTTTGTATGTCATCTCCGCCAAACTCCGCACAGTCCCGCCATCGTCCAAATTACTCCGCAAATGATTTATATGGGTAACGATGGGCAATACATTGGTTAAAAAATTGTACAGTTGTTTTTAAATATATGTATCTTTTCACACAAAAATCCTTTAAAATTAATTGGCACACCCAATTGGCACATCGATTTATTAAAATTCAAAAAATTATTTAATAAACCTAATCAGAGAAAACGCTTGGATCAGCATATTGTCCAAGTGCGCTAAAGAAAAACTCTTCTCTTTTTGTTAAAGAAAAGCCAAACTTTTGTCCGATATGATTTTCATTGAGAACTGCATATATACCCAATTGACATTCATTTGACTTTGGCTGAGGCAGAATATCACCTTGAATTTGTACCAATTTGCCTTTTCCTTTCGAACCTTCATCGGCCACTATATAAAATCGTTTGGTAGCTGTTGCAACATGCAAGAAAAATGCTAATGCATGATTATTATTCAGGATTCGGCCACCATTTAATCTAGCGTAGATATCAACATGTCCAAGTCTAGTTTTAGTCATTCCCTGAACATTCGAGCTATGAATCACTTGAACATATTCGGCTAAATCTGGTTTAATTGTGTCTTTGGGAGTTTTAGCCACAACCGGAGGGGTTCTGGATGGATCCAATGCTAAAGTTTTTAATTTATAATAGAACTCTTGTTTAATTCCGTAATCCAATGCAAAAAAACTGTGCAAACTTATAAATACCTAGTAACATTCTAACTTTTTCGCCTGTTTTACTAAGCAAATATTCGGCAGTTCTGCCAGCGATATGAGCACCAAAACTGAAACCAGTCACATCCACCCGTGACATATGGAGAATATTATCTCCGGCTGAAGATTGAGATTGATTTCGTACATTCAACACCAAATCACGTGCCATTTTCGCCACATATTCAAGCCGATTTGTTGCCACCAATTTATCCAAATGACCAATCGCTTGACATCCAGTTCTTGGTTTATCTGAATAGCAATATGATACGAAACAAACATTGTTTCCAGATGTAATAAACCATTCTATGGAGAAAATAATAGAATTTTGTTCAAGTAAAAACAAGCAGTCTTTCTATGAGTGAAAAAGTTCAAAAGTAAGAAAAAGAAAAAAGTACCTCTGGCAAACTTAAACAAAAGTCCTAATTAAGAAAAATTAGATTTTTTTTAATGGAAAATAGAAAATCTAGATCAGAAAAAAATATATTTCAATTTACCAGATGCTGAAGTAATTTCATTTCCAGCCCCAAGGAAAAACAGTGACAGACCTCTTCTATTGTTTAGCATCTCTATCAAATAATCTGGGATCCTATCAGTAACACCAGCTCCATAAAATTCACGATGACTGCATAAAAATGTGAGAAAATGAAAATATTAACCAAAGCATGCTCATGAATAATCTACTTATGGTACTTACTCAGCTTTGGCTATACAAGCGAAGGTAATGGGCTCTCCATCGTATTGGAGGTCATCGACGTTGAATTCAGCCTTTGATTTTCCTTTTTTAAGAGTTTGGGAAAGCGATCTTGAAAGTGATCTAGCAAATGATCTCGGAATTGATGGTGAGCTTCTTGATATAGGTCTGTCATCATCTGTAATAACATTGTACCCGTTTAGAAATAATGCAAAAAGCACCACGTACACGCTTGAATTTGCAATTTTGTCCAAAATTTTCCTCAATTATATCTTAAAACAGCTTTCGTCGACTCGGTAACGGTGTTGACGTTTCACTGAAACTACAAACTTGACGCGTATGTTGCGCATGTGTCTTTATCAAACATACGGGAAAAGGTGGAATTTGTGTATTTAATGGAAAAACACATTTTTTCGTACAATACGAATGAATTTTAAAGAAACAGACAAAAACAATTAGGCAATGTCATTCTACTAGATCTACCTGTCCGAATTCTGGATTCGAAGTTTATTTTCTCAAACTACTTACTTGTTGGTGAATCAAGGTGAACATTTCCGAGATCGCCAGCGAGATTTGAAACATCTACATTGTCCGAAATAGAAAAAAACGTGGTCTTTACTTTTCACTTTTTTTTTCAGAAAAAATACACAATTTTGTCTTCTCATAATTACCATAGCCACGATTTCGATCCGTTTGCGCAAAAGTACCTGCTATATTCACCATCATCAGGACCTGTAAAAAAAACTGAACATATTTCTCTTTTCATAAATTCCACACTATTAATTACCAATGCCAAAAGTAGCCCAAAATATACAATTGAAGAAATCATCTTTATCACTAACAATACCTTACTAAATTGTCTTTGAAAAATACTCGGTATATATACTTTTTGGTGGAGTTTTTCATTTTATTTTAAATAGTTGATGACGATGTTATCAATTTGAAAAACAGCATGTGTATATCTGTGTGAACTCTGTGTCTGTCTCTGTTGCTTATGCTTTCATACTTACAAGTAGCTTGATCGTTTAAATGAATGTTTTAATGTCAATAAAAAAAAATTGCTTCAAAAATTCAAAAATATTCCAAAGGAATTCAAAACAATTGGTGTTTTGTTGTGTTGTGTTGTGTTTGTTTTGTTCATGCATATCATATTATTTCGATTTTGTGAGTATAAAACTCGCACTACTCACAAGAACTAACGAAAATATATCAATAAGACTTAAAAAAATGAGAACTTATCCGTCTGAAATTTAAACTAATTTACAATACTCGGCGATACTCGGTCTGTGAATAAAGCCATGCAATTATCGCGCCACATTCACAACACAAAACATGAAAAATTATTTATTTATCATTTATTAAGCATGCAAATTTTTATGTTTTCACTCTATTTAGAAAGAATATTTGTCAGTTCAAGTCGTCTTTATCTTCAAACAACAAAGATGATGCACAGATAATTTTTGATGCGAATCGTCATTATAAAGTCGAATTCGAAGCGAAATTTATTGGTTAAACAATTATAGGAATTTATTTTGAAAATAACACGCGTTTGTGAGGTACCCGTGGCAGTAAAAATATTGTTATAACAGTAGGTGAAGACTCTATTAGAAAAAATAAACACGTTTTGACTACGTGAAATAAAATCCGAGAATTCGATGTATCGTATTTTTCCATTTGATCTCGTTATATCAAACACAGTTTATCGACATTTTCATACAGTATATTCAGTCATATGTTATATAAAATTATTACTATCATTATCACATTGAACGATAGTGTCGTGAATAGTCGACTCTCTAATATGTCCTTTTCCCCAAAAGTTATGCGTAGATAATTATACATGTTCCCTAGAGTGAATGTGGGATTTTTTGAAATGTAGCACCACTATACAAAAAGTGCATCATTTCAATAAACTCTCAGGAGAAGCCTCACATTCAAATGCGAATTGCAATATATATTATATAATCCACAATAATATGCAAACTGCACTATTTATATGAAAGATATTTTGTATCGTGGCTATTTTTTTCATGATTTTACATTCTGCTTTACATTGTTGCAAGAAGTGCAAAATATGCACAGAAATAAATTCTCATTCAAGAGATAGTAAAGTTAGGTAAAATGAATGCGAAAGTTTTCTACTTTTGATATTATTAGAGTTGTGCATTACGATAGGCGTTTCCAATTTAATTTTCCTGAAAAAGAATTATATTTTTGATAAGGCATAGAAGTTTGACGGTTAAGAAGATCGAATCGACAAATAAACAAAATGTAAACTGCCGTCAGAAAGTTTGAGACCAACCAAATATTTTCCATACAAATTCATACAAATTGAATTTTCAAGTGATTAAAATGACAGATTTTGTAAAAAAAATGTAGCACGATGATTTTATTTTTAATGAAAGAATATTTGATGTTAGAATAATTTGGTTCCAAATTTTTTATTCTATTTTTTTTTAATTTGACATGTGTACATAGGATTGCGGTCAAAAAAAACTATTGTTAATCAGTTTTACGTTTCTTTATATTTTTTTGGCTTGGACTGTTTTCGAATCTTGGCCGCTTTTTAGTTGGAGCTTCTGTAGCAGTCTTGAGTTCTGATTTTTCTTCGGTCACCCTCAAAAATGTGCTCATATCTTCGCTTATAATATATTTGATGTTACGATAATAATGTAAGAGTTTTGAATTCAAAATTGAATCTTTAAATATATCGGTTATGACTTCTGGTATACTTTCGATTTCTGCGGTGTTTGCAAGATCTTTATAGTAATCTCTTTGACCTGCACCCAATAAATGAGGCCTATTTTGAGGATAGCCTTCAAATAGGCGAACGAGAGCTTGATATTGCATATCCTTCAACATCTTTTCATTTGATGGCAATTGCTTTAGCCCAGAAATGAATTTCAGTGCAAAACGAGCCTAAGAGTTATTAAATTGTTAAAAGTTATTTCTTCTGAATAAAATTATGATTTCAAATGAATTAATCATTCCATTTCATATAATTGTCTTTTTAGGGCCTTGAGATAAAAAAGTATAGTACTCACCTGCAAATCACACATCGGATTATGTGCCGCACTGTTAGGAACCTGGTAAATATGAAAACTTTGTAAATTTAAGAAGAGATAACAAGAAAAGCCTTTTGAATACCCCGATAAAAGCCATTGTTGGACGGTTAACGTTAAAAATGTGCTTGTACAATAGAGCCACATAATAGTCTTCAACATGAATGCCAACACTTTCATCCAAAAACGGATATGAATACTTATAGCCTGAGAATTAAAGTAAAATAAAATATAAATGGCTGTGTGAGAAATCTATGACAATACTATATGGTTTTCTATTCTCAATAGGGTCGTTAGCCGTCTAAGAGCTAATGCTTCAAGTTATGTTTGAGTGAAAAGAATAACTGGTTGTAGATTTTTTTATTTTCAATAAAATAAATTAGTTTTTCATTCACCTGTTGCATAAATGATTACTGTGAAATTTCGACGTGATCCGTCTTCAAATTCAGCTCCATTGGCTGTGAAACGCTTAACATTGCCCTTCAATGGGTAATCGTTGAGCAAATCCATTACCGTTTCTGTCAGGTGTGAAAAATAATTTATTTTAGTTACGTGCTAATTTAAATTTAATTTAAAATAATTGTAATAGTAACCCATATTTTCTTCCATTGAAGATACTGCAGTAGTAGGCATACGAAAACTATAAGTTACTTGTTTGGCAAACTGGTAGGCTTGAATATAAATATCGTATCCTGATGGTCCTCCGCCAATAACCAAAACTTTTTCTCCTGTGATTTCAGTGCAAATAATAAGTAAATAAGTAGTAAGAAAAGATCAAATAATAATAGTATACCAGCAAATGTTTCAGGTTTACGGTAATCGCGGCTGTGCATAACCTTTCCCTTGAATTCTTCAGAGTTTTCTATGATGGGAATACGCGGCGAGGAAAATATATTTGTGCAAACAAAAACAGCATCATAGATATAAGTTTCGGATATATTTTTGAGCAAATTCAGGACAGTAATTTGCCATTTATCGTTTGGAATCGAATGAACTTTTTCAACTAAATGATGATATTTAATACGTTCTTCCACACCAAAATGTCTGGCATACGAATCCAAATATTTCCATACGACATCGTGTGAAGGATAGGATTGTGTATCTTTCGGAAAGTGAAAGTCTGGAAACTCCATAGTTTGATACGGTGTATTCGTTCTATAGCATATAAAAAAAGACATTTCTCTATTGTTTTTTTCTTTGAATCAACACATACCTTAGTTGTTGATACATCGGGGTATGTATTGTTGCGCCGTATTCGTCTTTTCCAATATCATCGGTATAATACCAAATCCCACCGAGCGCACCTGTCTTTTCGAAGATGTCCACATTGTGTCCTTGTGCAAGAGCATTTTTTGCACTAGTAAGACCAGCCGCTCCGGCTCCAATAACAGCTATATTTAGAGCTTCACTCCTATTCAACGGGAAAACTTTCTCACTCCGAGAATTTGATGGGCTCCCACTTATGCCTAGTAATCCAATTACCAATACTAAAAGAATCCACATTGGTCTCTTTGGGTTCGCCATTTTATCTTTTGCAATTGTTTTATTTAGAGTATTTTGCGAGAATTGATATTTTTCAAGAAAATTAATCTTTGTATGAGCTGAAATTTTCGATCTGTTTAGTCTTTGAAAGCCGATAAAGATTTCAAATGTATTAATACGTCAAAGAAAACCCAGACATCAAAATGTAAATATTCAAAATATTTATTCACACACTCTCTTCTATTAGTACGATGACAAGATACCGAAAAAGTTCCAAAGTAATTGAGATCAATAATTCTTAATTATACATTTTTTTCTTTTTTGTTGTGTAATCCGAATGAAAATTATAAAAGGATTCTTTTTACATATATCAATACGTAGAATCCGATCATCAATTTATAAACATTTCAATTTTTTATAATATTATTGTCTAATTATTATGCATGCAATAAATAATAAATTTCAATATTTAAAAAAAAAAAAAATTCTTTTTCTGTTGTAACATTTTAAATTCAGCCAATTTTTCTTGAAATAAAATTGAATTTCTTAGAGTTCAAGATGTTTTATGCAAAAACATCTTTAATTTAATTCGTCTGCTCAATACGGCGCTCATCCTACATGGGGGTAAATTCGGATAATCCCCTCCCTTGAATTTTTCAAGCCAACCCAAAACAAACCGAAATTCTTTCGATTATTTTTTTACCGAAATTATGTCAGCTAAATAAGAAAATGTACCGACGTTTCGACAAACATTTCGATGTGTTTGTTATGCCCAAAACAACCACATTCAAACAGAGCAGAAAGCACGATTTGGTTCAGTACGAATCGAGCGGCTTCAATTATTCCGCTGAATAAATAGAGCAGAGAACGAGTCTTTTTATTTCTAAAGCTTTTCAGTCGGAACAAAAATCATATTGAATTTTTTTGAATCAGAGTGAATGAGAGATATTGATCAGTGATGTTGTCTATACTGCACAAAATAAGAGCGATTGTATATACAACTGTAGGCAATGACAATATACAATGTCTTACTTTACAACACACGTTTCAGTGTACCTACGGAGTCGTTGTTTTGCGAATAAGAGAATGGAAGAATGAGAAACAATGATTCCATAGGTACGCACAGCATTGTTGTTGTTTTTGGACACTGCCTATAGACATGTATATACAACCCTTCCGTATATACAATTGTATTGTATACGGTTGTTTATAAAATCTCATCACTGATATTGATTTAATACCAGAGTTCACAACAGAGGCGATTTTTGGAATCCAAATCCGACCAACGCCGAGACTATTAAATCTGATACTGACTATTCTCCGACTACCTCGGATCGGATCGGTGGACGGACTCTTTCGGTGTTCGGAGCTCGGACAAAATTTAATACAAAATTAATGTGAACTGTTTAATACCATGATTAATTTTAATACCTTCCAATTCATATTATTACTAAACAGTTTTAATTACGTAAATAAATACATTTCAAAGAGTTTGACAATTGCAGTTAACTCATAGTTCGTTTTTGGGCAACACGTATTAGCAACTGTCAATAACTACAACAATTTTCAGACTTCTTTTCTTTTTCTTATTTTAAATATTCATTGCTTCAGTATGGAACTCGTTTAAATGTTTTCATATCATCACTTATAATGTAATTATTGTTACGAAATTCACGTGTAAGTTTGGAATTTACTATTGCGTCGGCGAATATATTTGATATTACATCTGGCACATTCTTGATGCCAGCAGTTTTTGCTAAGTCTGCATAGTATTTTTTATGACTTGGTCCCAAATAATGAGGCTTATCTTTGGGACGACCATCTTTTACACGAATTTCAGCTTGCATTCGCATATCTTCCAACATCTTCTCATATGATGGCAGCTTCTTCCCTCGAGAGATAAACTTCAACGCAAAACGTGCCTGTTTTTGAAACATAAACATGTCTATTTTTTAAATTTCTTCTTTTGTTTTTTTTTTTTTTTTTTGAAAGAAAATCTAGACAAACCGAAAATAAAAATATGTAATAAAAGTATAATTTTTGTTAAATAGCTTCATATAAATAAAAGAGACCAGCTTTTTTGGTAAGAGTGTATGAAATTGAAAAAATCTATGTATCGTGTATTAAAACGAAAATCTCTCACAAAATCAATTTTAGATTGATATTTTAGAGATTGTTATTAGGATGGGACAAATCAATACAAAAGGTTTTATATTCACCATCAAAAAATCAAATCATACATAGGATTATGAGCCGCAATGAAAGGAACCTAGTGATTGTAAAGATAGTGTAAATATAAAAAGGTAGTATAGCTTAAATACAAAAATGTTTTGGATGGTACCCCAACGAATGCCATTGTGGGATGGCGAATGTTTAGAATTTGCTTATACAAGGGTCCAACGTAATTATCCTTGACTTCAATGCCCACATTTGCATCCAAAAATGAGTACGAATATTTATAGCCTATTTCAACAATTTCAAAGTTAAAGAAACTGAAAAATGTTGTCACTTATGGGGATGCCATAAGTAAATGTATGTGTTACCCGTTGCATAGATAACTGTTGAGAAACTTTGATTAGTTCCATCTTCAAATTGTACATCAAATCCATTTGGAAGGAAACATTTTACATCGCCTTTATATGGATTATCATTATCAAATTCAGATACTGGTTCTTCTGCAATTACTATTTATAATTTGTTGATTTTAATCAGTATTTACACATGAGTTATTAGATGCTATTATATTTTTAAATTGAATGATAGTTGTGTAAAAATCCATGTCTCTCTTACGCATTTGAGGTTTTTTTATCGTTGGCTTATGATAGCTAAATGTTACTCTGTATGCATACATGGAAAGTTGGTTGAAAATGTCGTTACCACTAGGGCCGCCACCAACAATTAAAACAGTATTGCCTATTTGAATTTTGATAAAATAATATACAAGAAATCTAAAAACTAAAATCGTTCATAATATACCATAAAATCCATCTGGTCTACGGTAATCGCGACTGTGCATGACTTTTCCTTTGAAATTTTCAGCACCTTGAAGAGCTGGAATGCAAGGTAATGCATTAGCACCAGTGCAAACAAAAACAGCGTCAAATGTGTCTGTTTTGCAGTGGTTATTTCGTAGGGTTGTATTCCTAACAGTTATTTCCCACTTCTCGCCTTGAATCGAACGAATATTCTCAACCAAATGATGATACTTTATGAGTTTTTTTATCCCAAAATGTTTAGCATAGGAATCTAAGTAATTCCATATGACATCATGTCTGTCATGATTTTTGGTGGAAAACCAACTGGAAATTAAAAGGAGAAACTTTCAAGTGGTCTATTAATTAATTGGCAATTCAAACATGAAAAGATATGAAACAAAACTTACTATGTGATTGGAATTTTTTAGCCATGGCCGATTTCTCTTTTTAGTCTCTTAGAAATTGAATAAAATAATTGAAGAAGTGATTACTTACAATTTTCAGGAAAGGGCGTTTCCAGTAAAAGGGAGTAGAAATAACAATTCACTAACTTATATTTTGCATAGTATTTATACTTTTTCATCATATTTACATATTATATTTGACATTCTTCTACAATAAAAAAAAACTTAATCCAAAATTTTATAATCATTATTTTTTTCGAAAGTAACACTGTGCTACGAAAATTGAAAAGCGAAAACATGAATATATTAAATATCAAAGAACACTCAGTAAATACCAGGCAACATGAGGTGACTGATCACAACTGACATGAACTAGCCATTGGTAAAATCAATTAGCTATTGGTTAGTTTCCATGTTATGATAATAACATTTTCTCTTTTCAATGTGTTGCCGCAAATGTAAAATTCTATTTTGGTATTTAGGATATCTACAATTGCGATAACACGTTAAGCAGACAAATTGTTGCTGTACAATATTTCTGTAGCACAGTGTTAAACACAGGCGCACATCTTATGAAAAAATGAGGAACTCACAAGAATTCTGTTTAGTATTTGAAATGGAATTTCTTTATTTCGTAATAACAATTTGAATTTACTTTTTTCATACAACATTTTTTCTTATATTTTTTGGTTTAGTGATGCCAACAGTTTATTCTAAATCGCTAATATAAAATAATAGCGAATAATTTATTATTATTATTTATTTGCAAATATTTAAACAAAAAATAGCAGTAACCTCAATATGAATGAATATGGCGATCTATTTTCAAACATATATAAAATATATTTTGTTGAGAAATTATTCTTTTTCTTCATCTGAAGTACTTTTTTTCGTTTTATTCGATTTATATTATTCGATTCAGTGGTTTTTGTTCGTTTTTCCTGCTCTTTTTTAGGGTTTAAATGCTTTTTACAGAGGCCATTTTAATAAGTAACCTACAATTTTAATATTAGTCAAAGAATTCTTCAAAGAGGGATTATTTTGAGTTTTTACCTATCTAAAAAGATTTCAGTCACTTCTATACTGGTGACTTTTTTCAATAATATTCCTTAGTTAAGCATAAAGAAAACTATTACAGTTTAACAGAGGATTTTTAAATTGGCAAGAGCATTTGTGGATTATCTACAAAAAAAAACCATTTATTCTAAAAAACAACGAAACAAGTATGGAACGTATTTTTTGCAAATCGTATTAGAATGTCATATCGATATAAAAAAAAATTAGTCAGTTTCCGGAATGTTGTTATAAATTCCTGCAATATTGGCTAACTCTTCAAAGTAGTCATGTTGATTTGATCCCAAATTATGAGGTTTGTATTGGGTTGAAAGCCAATTTGAATCTTCCAGCATTTCGTCACGAGATGGTGGCTGTTTTTCTCCAGAGATGAATTTTAATGCAAAACGGGCCTATTTTTACAATAAAATCAATTATTGACTATTTTATTTTAGAGAATTATTTCCATGTTTTATTTACCTGTAAATCATACATCGGATTGTGTGTTGTACACCTTGGAACCTAGTTAATATTATAAAGATCCATATAAAAATATTAGAAGAGATAATAACAAAAATGCTTTGAATGATGTACCCCGATAAACGCCATAGTAGTGGGATGATGAATGTTTAGGATCTGTTTGTAGAGTGGCGAAACAAAATGATCACTGGTCTGAATACCAGCGTTTCCATCCAAAAATGTATATTCATATTTATAACCTGATAAATGAATAATTATTTAGTGGCAAATCAAACGGAAACAATTTCACAATTTTACCCGTTGCGTAAATAACCACTGAGTAATTTTGACGGGTTCCATCTTCAAATTCAACTCCATATTTTGTAAAACGTTTTACATCGCCTTTACATGTGGGTTCATATGCGGATGAACTTGTAGCTCCAAATTCTATATTTGTATGATTTTATTCAGACCTTGTCTCATGTTGGCTGACTGATAGCAGCTGCTATTGTAAATGGCATCTAATCAGCCAGCATAGGGCAAGTGTGATTTTATTCCTGAATTTAACAAACTTTCGTAGTATTCTTAAATTAGGCTAATAATGAAAAGCGTAACTTTTAATATAAATGTGCCCTTTTGATATTTTTAACACCTTTCTTAAAATATTCAAACCAGTTCCACTTTAATGAATCGATGGAGTGTGAAGCTAGATTAATTTGTGGACCTTTCAACACATACATACGCAAATCGAGCATTTGAATAGGTTATAAAAACAAAAAAAAAACATATAATAACTACCAATTAATTAAAATGTAATAACCTGATGGATCAATATGAGAGCTATGCGTCACGTGGTTAGCAATCCCATAGAGTTGATTTACTATATCATTACCGCTTGCACCATCGCCGACAACAAGAACATCCATTCCTATTGTATTTTAATTTGGCAATAAAAACGAAATTTACATGAAAAAACATCACGACCTTTGAATTGTAACACACCTGCAAATGTCTCAGGTGTACGGTAGTACCGACTATGTAATTTAGTTCCCTTGAATACGTCGACGCCTCTAATATCTGGCACACGTGGCGTTGAGAAAATATTTGTACAAACAAAAACCGAATCAAATATATAAGTTTCTCTTCGCCGATGATTAGGCATGTTTTTAACAGTAATTTTCCACTTGTTATTTTGAATCGAACGAACATTTTCAACTAAATGATGGTAATATATATGCGCAGTTAAATTGAAATGTGTAGCGTAAGAATTTAAGTATTCCCAAACTACATCATGAGTTGGGAATGTTTCTGTGCCTGGTGGAAAATTAAAGTTTGGAAACTCCATCGCTTGGTACGGTGTATTGGTCCTAGTTGAAATGTTCATAAGGTAAATTTGGTAAATATATCTGTAAAAAAATCAAATTGAAATATGTATACCTAAGTCGTTGATACATCGGAGTGTGAATCTCAACTCCATAATCATCTACTCCAATTCTATCAGTATAGTACCAAATTCCTCCAAGTACTCCGGTTTTTTCAAAGACATAAACATCATGGCCTTGTTCGAGAGCATTCTTTGCACTTGCAAGACCAGCTGCTCCGGCTCCAATAACAGCTATACGCAAGGCTGCACAATATTTACCTATTATTCCAAATATACATCCGAAAAGAATCCATTTCATCTCAAATAAGAGCATTTTAACTGATTTCAATCACTCTTATTCGTATCGAAAAACTTTTAAAGTTGGTTGAAATAATCTTGGTTGGTTGAAGTAACTTGAAGAAATGTCAATTTAAACTTTGTTAAATTGTTAATATTCAAATGAAACGTGTATGAATACTTCACTTTTTGAAAAGCAAATTGAATATTTCAAGCATTTTTTTTTGTTTACTTACGTAGAATGATAGATTTTACTTACGCAAAATATAAAGAAAAATAATAGAATATTTGAACATAAAAACGTATTATATTCGGTTTCATAATAAAGGAGCTCAAATATAACAACAGCTTGTATGGAAATTTCTTGGTCTATAAGTTTTGAATGCTTGAAATATTCTATTTGCTTTTCAAAAATTGAAGTATTCATACACGTTTCATTTAAATTGACATTTCTTCAACCAACTTTGAAAGTTTTTCGATACGAATAAGAAGTAGCTTTAAATAAGATCCCAATTTTTAAAAAATGCGACTCAAATGGACTAAAATTCATGAAAAAGTAACTTTATATTTCCGGGTACCAAAATTGAAAATGCTCCCATCGCTTTCAATAAAATCCCACTTTCGCGACCTTTCCCCAACCGGTAAACGCTTGAAAATGCTTCCATTCGATTCTGCGATAAAAATTGAATACTTAAATAACTTATTTACAATTTTTTAAAAAAAATTCATCAGAAAATAATTCACATTTCCACCAAAATCGTATTTTTTTCAAATCCGGCTCCCCGGACAGGATGAATCACTTCAGAAATAGTAATGATGCAGAATGTTTCCTCTGAGTATGTAGTACTCATAGCCTACTCAGGCCATTTGATATCGTCACTTTAAAAAAAATTGACCCACCCTATTACTTATACATTATTAGGAATGTAAATATATGTCAAATATTTTCTAACGTATTTGTTTCGGATAATTTATTTGCATATATTGAAATTTACCATTGCTGTAAATATTGTAATGGATTTTATTTAGATTTATGAATCTACGAGAGCACTTTTTATGCCTAAATGGTAAATTTTATTTACTTTTCTTTTAGAAAATTCAACAGAATATTATTTAATCCCTTCGTTACATAGATTTGTTTTGTCAATATCTTGTCTAGGGGGTTCCAACTTATACGAATGTTCCATATGCGAGCGAATGTTTCATACAAATTTTGCGAATGGTGGCGGATGTTTCATACAACTTTGCGGACGGTGTCGAATGTTTCATACACATTTTACGGATGGCGCATATGAAAAGTCATATTTTTACATTCAAAAAGTCAAAGTGACAGATTAGGTGACAGAGATTCAAGCCGAATTGATATTTTTTTGGTAATATTGAGTGAAATTTTTCTAAAATGGTAAATAAATCTTTGTAAACGGTGCCTTGTGAAAGGTTTTTTTTTCGCGAATGGTTGCGAATGAAATGTACGAATTTTCATAGATATTGATGCGGATGAATATACTTTACTTCGTATATTTCATGTATGAATAGGAAAATGTTCATATATTCCGTATAAAATGGCATTCGCATATAGTAAAATGCCCCCAGTATCTGGTTATTCGAATGGTTTTTCGTGCGAAACTGAAAAAAACATCTCAGATTTCGTGTTAATACGCTAACGAACTCTAGAGATGCCAAAGTAAAGATAAAAAAATAATATTTCAAACTTTCTGAAAAAAGGCACAACATGATTGAGCACACTTCTTTCCTTTTTATGTGTGTTTACAAAACTTTTTTCTTCGCAAAAAACACATCTGCTTTTATGATTTAATTGAGTAATCAAAACATATCCATTGCAACAACTTAATACGTCTTTAATAAACCTTAAAACGCGATAAGTGATTTTAAATATTCCCAATTTATTCGGAAAAAGGATTATTTTAATGTGCAATAATAGAGGTATTTTAATTGAAGATTTAATTTTTCGTGTTGATCATGGGTCCAAGGGGTCTAATTATCCCTCCCCTGGGGAATGGATTTGGGAAATTACTCCTTAAAATAATCTTTCGATTTTCTAAGATTTTTGCGAAAAAAGTGTAGACCTTTTTTTGCCCAATAAGTTTTTCAAATGGGAAAAATTCTTTCGATTTCCCAGAGATTTTCGCCAAAAAAGTAAAGAGCAAAAAAACGGAAAAGGCCTTTGAATAGAATGGTGAAGCTGAAAATTACCCCTTTACAGTTTTGAAGAACTTAAATTTGGTGAGTGAATCATGATTAAAATCCATCATCGCATTTTTTTTAAATATCTTTGACATTCTTTCTTTTATTAATTGTTAATTTAGCTTTGTTATTGTAAGAACATTTTCAAATTCAAGCAACAATATTTGTTCCACTGAATATAATATTTCAAGTTGAATCTATTCTTTTACTTTATCAAATGTTCCGTCATCATTTATGATATATTTATAAGTCCGATATTCACGTGCATCTTTTTTAAGACTTTCCAATCCATTAGTAAATATATCTGATATGACTTCTGGTACATTTGTGATTCCAGCAGTGTTTGACAGTTCTCTATAATACTTTTTGTGATTCCATGATAAAACGTGAGATCTGCTTCGGGGAATGTTATTATTTCGACGATCTGCATCTTTTGCTAACATATCCTGTTGCATTGTAGATTTGGTTGGCATTTTTTTCCTTCCTGAGATGAATTTTAACGCAAAACGGGCCTATATGTTATAACAAAAAATAAAAGATTTCTCGACAATATGGCGTCATTTCAAAACGCCACTACACACAAAAAAATATATTTTCAAAACTAAACGACATTCCATCTTATTTTTGTATTTAGATGACACTTCGTTTAGTTTTAGTATTTTTCATCTAGTTTGCATTTGAAGTAACGATTTTTAGTATTCTCTTTTGTGCGGATCTTCTTCGTTTGTGTTTTTTCGAAATCGATTGGTAACTCATACATCCCAAAACACAACCACCATGAGTCCCTGTATATTAATATAGGCGAGAAAAAAGTCGCACAATAATGCGCCATCTGTTGACGTGGTTATCAATTTATGTAATTACAAAGACGGAATTGTTGGATGGTGTCTTGACTAAATTTTCATATCGGTTGTTTTCAACCAATATTCGGACACGTCACCAGATGCCGTTTTTACAATATGACATCTCTCAGACATGATGGTTTCCAAAACATAACCGAAAAAGATCCACACAAAAGAGAATACAAAAAATCTTTACTTAAAATGCAAACTAGATGATAAAATACTAAAACTAAACGAACTGCCATCTGAATACAAAAATATAAATAATAGAATATGGCGAAGTCAGAAGGAAAATCTTATAGGAACAATTAAAATTGGTCATAACATTTCCGAAAATCGGTATAAGAAAAATTTGATTGAATTATAAAAATTAACTTGTTCTCTATACAAATTCGCTTAAAAATCCACATCTCTATAAATATATTTTCTTAAATATGATATGGAGATGTATTTACCTGTAAATCATACATGTGCATATGTGCTGCTACTATTGGTATCTAAATTAAAAAAATAGTAGGATATTAGGAAAGATAATATATTAAGGAAAATGGTTTGGATGGTACCCCGATAAAAGCCATTGTCGCATGATTAATATTCAAGATTTGCTTATACAAAGGTCGAACGTAATTTTCAATAACCTGGATTCCAGTGTTTTTGTCCAGGAATGGATATTTATGCTCGTAACCTATTTAGAAGTTGCAGATAAAAAGATGTTGAAAAATTAAACAAAAATCAATTCACCTGTGGCGTAAATAATAGCTGCATATTTTTCACTTGTTCCATCCTCAAAATCAACACCGTAGGCTGTAACACGCTTGACATCGTCTTTCAGTGTGCATTCGTATAGTTGTTCACGTCGTTTACGCAAATTTTCCGATTCATCAGGACGTTCATGGCGGCTGAGCGTCACATTGCTACCAGCCCTTGAGAGTTGACGTACTATCTCTACTCCACTTGCACCAGCTCCTACAACTAGGACGTTCCTTCCTATTTGAAACAAATTGGGTTTTTCGATAATATTTTTATCGAGGGGTTTTTATAAAATGTTTCTATCTGTTTCATACCTTTGTATGGTTCTGGTATACGATAATCATGACTATGCAGATATTCTCCTTTGAAATCTGTGATGCCTGGAATATTTGGATAAACTGGCGAAGAACAAACACCATTACAAACAAACACGGAATCATATGTACTTGTTTCCGTTCGATTATTATTCTTCAAATTTTTTACACTTATTTCCCACTTATTGTTTGGTATTGAACGAACTTTCTCAACCAAATGTTGATATTTTATGCGTTCCGTAACATTAAATGTTTGCGCATACGAATTTAAATATGTCCACACAACTTCATGTGAAGGATAAGATTGCGTCCCTGGTGGAAAGTGAAAATCAGAAAACTCCATCGTTTGATACGGTCCATTTGTTCTATTTGATTGACAATACATCATATGTTATTACTTTTCTATTCAACTACGTTCATTTAAGATAAAAATGAGTTAAGTTTTTGCGTTGGAAAATAATAATTTGATTAATAATCAAAAAATTTCGATTATTTAATATTTATTTTTCCAATCAGTTGATCGATTTGCTTTCGGTTACCAAAAATAGGTTGGCTGCATGCCAAAATTTTATAAAAATGCTCTCAATTTCTTGGATTATAAAAATTAAATACCTAAGATCACGATACATCGGTGTGTGAATAACAACATTATATTGGTCTTTTCCGGTATCTTCTGTATAATACCATACGCCTCCGAGTACCGCAGTCTTTTCGAAAACATACACTTCATGTCCCTGTTCAATGGCATTCTTTGCACTAGTTAGCCCAGATGCTCCTGCTCCAATTACAGCAATTTTCAGGCATTCGCATGTACTTGGGCATCCAAAAACAAATATCAATGCAATCCATTTTATTCTTGAAACTGACGCCATTTTATTGTATTATAAATATTGAGAAATTTTCTGTAAAATTAATCTAGTTTAGTTGTGTTTTCATACGTTTTACATAAAGTTATATATTTTAATTAGTGTGATGGCGTCACTGAATCAGTTTATAGAAAACGATATCGCCCTCAATATTTGACAAATGAATTATGTTTAGATTTCAAAAAACCCGGATGCGTATCAATTTAAAGGAAAGATGCAATAAAAACTACTTAAAACAACAAATAAAATAAAATCAAAGAAATGTAAAAAATGAAAGAAAAAAACAGAAACTTACAGTTAGGTAAAAACTGGATTAAAACAATGACACATAATTATTACGGCCGAGGTTTTATATACTTTGGTTAACGTATCAAATTGTAAACAATTTGCCCTACAATTGTTACAGTAAACAATATTTCTGTAATCATTCTGGAATTTATATTTTCAGACTTAGTCACTTTGATAAAGAGAGAACTTCTAATCTATAATGTACAGGGTGGGCCAGAATAACTGAAGGGTGTATTTTTGGCTCTAAAAAACACATTTTTGAATAAAATGAAAAATATATATTTTTCTCTAGTAGGATTTAACATAAAATTTTAGATTTAGCCTTTGGATTTGATTCTTGCACCATTTCGTTTGATTACCAGCTTCAGACGTGTTGAAAACGAGTCGCACGCGGCACGCATTTCATTCATGGGAATATCGTTCCAAATCTTTACGATTTTCTTTTTGAATGTGTTCAAATTGGTAACCTTCGTAATCTTTAGACTATTGAGCTTCGATGTCATGTAGCCCCAAGCAAAAAAATCCAATGGGTTTAAGGGAGACGATGGCGGCCATGAATCTTTGTCAATGAAATCGGCCAAATTTGTTCGTAACCAGTGTTGCACTGTTTTAGCTCGGTGTGCAGGTGCGCCATCCTGCTGAAACACCCATGGTTCGTTTCGAAACAATCTCTTAGCTTGTGGCAATAAGTTTTTGCACAATATTTCTTGTTTATAAAATCTAGCGTTGATTTTTACGTCTTTTTCTATGAATCGGCCGAAAATGCGCCCCAAACCATCAATTTTGGAACATTCTGAAAACGTTCAACGGTCTTTTCGTATTCAGGAATGTCTATTGCAGACACTGCGTACACACGATCATTTTGTGCATTGAGACTTGGCTGTAGCAAGAACAAGTTTTCATCCGAAAAAACGATATTTGAATTGGCGTGCCGGCGCAACAGTTCTTTGCATTTTTGTTTTCTGGCTTGCATATTTTTGATCGTAAGACCATGTCGACGGCCTTTTTTGAAAGGTGTCGTGTTTAAGTCTTCTTTTAAAACACGTAGCATCGAAGACCGGCTAATATTGTGATCTTGAGCCAGCTTTCTGGCACTTCTTTGGCGATTTCGGCGAATTTTGGCTTAGACTTGTTTGATGAGTGCTTTTGTACGAACGGATCTTTTTCTACCGGGTTTCTTTTGTATGTCGACAGTTCCACGTTCGTTGTATCGTTTGATAGTACGTTCAATAAATGTCATGCAAACCTGTTCGTTTTGTAGCTGTCGGAAAATATCAATGTTTCGAAAACCACGTTTGTGCAAATTTAAGATGAGTTGACGTTTCACATCCATTGTTATTGCGCCTATAAATAATGAATCAAAATACGCATTAGCATATTAGTTAGGCTAAGGGTCAACAAACATAGCGGTGCAAAACCGGGTGAATCAAAAGTCATTGTACAGTCGTAAGAATGTTAAGTAAAAACCCTTCATTCTGGCCCACCCTGTATATTAGCTATTGCTTCGACGAAATAATGAAAAAGGCTCAGTTGCAATTTAAAAGCAAAAATTGTAATTATTTGTTTCTTCATACGAATATCAATATAAATGTAAATATATTAAATTGATGAAAGCTTTGAAGGTGCGTCACCTATATGTGACGTGTTTATTGTGCAATGAAAAGATGGTTTTTCTTTTACGACCTAGAATTTGAAGGTATATTAATGGTATTATAAAATATTTCTTGAATTTTTTCCAAAGTTAATATTCTTTCTAATGAAATTTAAAACGTTATTGATATTATAAAATTATGAGTGAAGATGAAAAAAATTAAGACACGTAATGACTGCACTTAAAACTTGTTTATCAACGAAAATATGTTTAACCTCGTTGAATGGTTATTTGACATGTCATCTTGAAATATGCATCTAAAATATTTCGAGCAAAACGATGTTGGATGTATGCATTAATCAAAAAAATTAATGGAATATTTTGTCAAGAAAACACAATATTAAAAACGACCGAATTTTCAGTAGATTTTGTGCATCACTTTCTAAATAGTTATTTTTTATTAATTGTTAATAAATATCTAGATAGAACTGCTCGAAAATCTACCTTATTTAGATAGCATTTCGTTATCTGAACAAAACACTGCGGCTATTAGGAATATTTCCCACTACTGAGAATGCGTTCAGTTTAAATTGAAATTGACTATTTTCAGAATTTTTTTACACCTAGTAAATATCTAAACTTGTAAATAGAAGAAACGACAAAAGTAAAAAATCTTTTGAACCGTACCCCGATGAAAGCCATTGTTGGATGTTTGATGTTTAATATTTGCTTATACAACGGATGAACGTAGTTGTCGATAACATTGATACCAACATTTTTATCCAAAAACGGATATGAATATTTATAACCTACAAAAAATATGTTTCCTATATTATACAAATGCATCAACACTTTTCTATCAATTTCTAACGATATAAATCGACTAATTTTGGTCAAAAGTATTTTACTAAAATTGACCAAAATTAGCTAACTATGATGAAACACAATTTTTTTATCTACAAATCGATATTTTTGAATGTTATTCATTTTTCCAATTACCTATTGCATAAATGATCATTGTAAAGTTTTGACGTGATCCATCTTCAAATTCAATTTCAATTGATCCTGTGATACTTTTTACGTCACCCTTCAAGGTAAATGGTGGACTGCGTGAAGTTTCAACTTTATCCATGTTATCGAAACTATTATTACAAAAATCACTTGCAATCGCTACAAGCTTTTTTAATACAGATTCTTTTGGAATTTTCCTATGATGGCTGAATGTCATTCGATTTAGAAACCTTGCATTAATGTGTCAATTCCACTGGTTCACCCACTTATAACATATAAAAAAATTAGTTCGAAAGGAGGTATTTATATGACGGTTAAGCCAATTCTACGTACTAAAAGTCAAGATTGAAAGTTGTGCAAATGAGTGGAGACACTGAGAAGCCAGTGAGACTGCTCTCTAAGAAATCAAAACATTCGAGAGTTTGGAAAAATATTGAAAATTGTCGATTTGGCAGAGGGGCATGTGATCTGAAATCATATTAGTTCGAAAGGAGGTATATATGACGGCTAAGCTAATTCTACGTACTAAAAGGCAAGATTGAAAGATATGCAAATGAGTGGAGACACTGAGAAGCCAGTGAGACTGCTCTCTAAGGACTCAAAATATTCGAGAGTTTGGAAAAATATTGAAAATTGTCGATTTGGCAGAGGGGCATGTGATTTGAAATCATATTAGTTCGAAAGGAGGTATTTATATGACGGCTAAGCTAATTCTACGTACTAAAAGGCAAGATTGAAAGTTATGCAAATGAGTGGAGACACTGAGAAGCCAGTG